TAAAACCTGATGTTAATTCAAAAAACTTTTGTTTTTTTGTACACAAATAAACCCCCCTAGCACATCGCGATGATAATAGCATAAGGAAATCTATAGATAACTATAGTTAATGTTGGACAGTGGTTGTTTTCACAACATTTTTATTATTATGGATAAATATAAATAGGACGTTAAATCTATTAAATTTGTCCACACACCAAAGAAGTTATATTTTTGGTATCTCCTCATTAAATAACCGCTGAAAATAGTCGCCTCTGTGGTCATCTATGTTTTCGCTCGCGACCAAACTGAACCTTTGCCAAAATCAAATGCAGTTAATCAACGAGTAAATACTGACTTTTGCGTTAGATACAAGCAGTAAAGTAAAAAATAGTTTTTGCTTGGAGGTGTGCCGCATCGAGAATCGAGAAAGCACGCGCGCCAAACTTTCAGCAATACAGCGATAGTTTCAGGAAAATCGACAGCACATTGCCTTACAGCCGATTGTTTCAGTTAAATGACACTTCCGGTCTGAAGTTCGCGCCGTACGCTACGTTTCAGTTCAACGTGTGGCTCGCGTTCTTTACAAATTGACTGACAACTCGCTGAAATGTGGTGTTCATTAATGTGACAGTACCTACTAATTAGTGAAAGTCTTTTGCATAAAAAATGGTTGGATACTATAATCATGGTAAATTACAAGCTTTGTAGAGTATACTATAAATATACTTATTTTTGTGGTAAAAAGATGTTTTTTATGCAAAGAAAAATCGTTCATTTACGAACGTCTTAATTATATCATGTCTATATTTCATTCACATTCTGCAACTGTTTATTAAATTATTAAAATTAAATCAACGTATATATTTTTATAATATATTTGAAATGCATCAAATGTAAATAAAATTTAATGTTAATATTAATATTATTTAAGTTTTATTGGTACGTGCGTAGGTACAGCGGTTATCATATCAAATATCATTCAAAATTTCTGAAGAAATATTTTTTAATTCTAAAGGAAAAAAAAATTTTATATTTGTAGTGCATGCATTTATAAATTTGTATTTGCCCTCCTATAAATCTTTCTCTAGATCGTGGCAGTTTTGAAAGCAAGCGAAAAGATTTTGGCAGACTTTAATTCCCCTTATTATTATTAGAATAGGCTAACTTTAACCGTTTTTAGATAAAAAATAAATATAAAATTTAGAAATTCTCGTTTTTTACATTATTCCAAAAACTAAAAAAGATAAGTCAAATTTCTTTTTTGATCATTGGTCAAAATGACCAACTTTTTCCTAATTTAATTTTTTTGAAATACAAGAATGTTGGACATAAAATTAACGATTTTTCCGAAAAACTTGAATAGAAGATTGAAATATTTTTTATTCAAAAAACAAACAATTTAAAATAAAGTCTTTGGATTTTTTAGAAGATAATTTTTTTCCGGTAAGTTACAAAATTTGTAAAATCTTAGAAAAGTAGTCATCTAATGAGTAACAGAAACATTTTACGCAAATCAAAAGTATTTGGAATAGGTACTAAAATTTCTCCAATTATAATTTAATCAAGATCTGTATTCCTTCAAAAAAATAAAGTTTAAAATTCCACAGAGAAAAAATACGCTTCTTTTTTTCTTGACAAGGGTTTTCCTTGAACTTTAAATTTAATTTTAAATTTTATGGTAAACGTTAAACTTGTTAGTGCGGCTTTATATGCTGCAGTATTTTCCTTTTATGATGAATATTCACCCAAGCTTAAATAGGTCAAACAACCGTTTTATCGGGTGTGGAAGAATTTACTCAGGACATAATCTAATAAAAGATTTTTGATATTTTACGTGATATTTATTGATTTTAAAGAAGTCTACGATTACAGTCAGAAAGTTAATATGTGGACGGATTTTTTAAACGCCTTGTATACAGGCCCGTTCCTGGCGAGCGTGCACGCATGCAGGCGCAACTTTTTGGGGGCGCAAAATCAAAAAGTCAATCAGTACTTTGTAACGATAAACTTTCTTGCATATAATACTTAAACATATATAGAATAAAGGTTACCACCTGTTTTTGCATTGGCCGCTATAAAGCGTCTTTTGCCGCTTTGATATTGGCGGCTTATTTTTTTATATGAGTATCAAAATAAAAGTAGAGAAATGGTAGTATAGTATTTGTTTAATAGTTGCAGTTGACGGTAGTTAAGTTTAACAGTAGTCTACATAGTGCATGACTTAGTAACGAGCTTACTCTTTAAAATGACTAATTCAATTAGTCTAATTGCCATCGCGAAAAAGCAGCGACTAATAACACTAGTTTACAAAATCGAAAAAATGTCTGCCCACCATATCCCATTATAATTTTCCCATGTATTTTGACCCATGGTATCCCAAAATTTAACAGCCAATTCTTATGTAAAAACCCTGAATGATTCAGGCTGAATCCGAAAATGTCCTCAAAAGTTAAAAAGTGGAACAGTTTTTGAGATATGTTAATTTTCCATTTAAAATAGAATTGAATGTACCTCAAAAACTGCTCCACTTTTATAATTTTTGACGGTATTTTCGGATTCAGGGGACAATTTTACATAAGAATTTGCTGTTAAATTTTGGAATACCATGGTAAAAGTAAAAAAGCAGCCACTAACTATTAAACTAGTCATTTTTGACTAATTCATTTTTAGAGAGCACACTCAATTTTTTTATGGAAGCGTTTTTGAAATATGAATTTTCAAATGATTTATTTTCATTTTTCGAAGGTGTTTTGACGTTTTTGATTGTAGCTTGAAATCTAATTGAACGATTTGTTCAAACAAGCCCTTAAATTGAAGGTATTTGAGCCCTCAAAAACTTTCTTTTTACATACTTTTGATATCGGATAAGTATTTTGATGCTAGCGATAGCGAACTTAAAAAAATTGTTTTTATGGCAAAAATTGAGTTCGAAAATTTACATACCGTCCTGGGAAAGGTTTAAATGAAACAGATAACTCCAGTTTATTTTTCGTGAAGCTGACATTTTGATAAAAAAAAACAAGCTGATATTGATAAAAATCCATGAAAAAATGGCGAAGTTATGAATTTTTTAGTGGAAGACCAAAATTCAGCTTTTTGACGATTTTTAATTTTTTTCTTTTATTTTGTAATATGTTTATTCTTTAATGAAAACCTAATTAAAGTGCATAATTGGAATTTGTTGAGTTTTTTACGTACTTTTATCACCGAAAACATTATTCAAAATTTAAATTTGACATGACTCCGCAAACGTGAATTCTTTTGTTTCTAAAGTAAAGTAAGTATTATTTCTTTTACTAAATTTAAAAAAATTTGAAATGGAATAAAATCTGTAATACTTGAATTTTTTTAATAAAATTTGAAGTTTGTCGATAAACTTCAGTGAATTAAATATTGTACCACTTTAATTTGAATTATCTTAATTTGGAGGGGCAGGAGGCTGGGGGTTGCACTAACTTTTTATCACTGAACTTATCTATATAATGTCATTATAAACTCATATAAATTTGATGTGGGTACCATGTCTAATAACTGAGATATGGGTGTGCCAAAATCCACCAGCCGCCACTGCATTTTACTGTTTTTTTTTGATATTTCAACATTTTTTTATCATTGTGTTTTATTTAGTTAATAAAAAGTGTAAAATAAGTAAAAGAAGTAGAGAGTTCGAGTGCGTAAATAACCCGGACAATCTGGGCGACGTAAGTGATGAGCACGGAGAACGTTTTCACCAGCAAATGGAGCGGCGGTATCACGGCTTTTGGGATGCAGCCATGATGAGGGATTACATTTTGTCCCTCATACCAAAGAGAAACGGAATACGAAAGCAACAAAAAACAAAGGAGACAGATTTTTTTTAAACCTATGCTTAAAACTTTCAGTATCTTCAATGTTAATTAATTTTTAATATATAATTTAATTTCAATATTTAATGTATATTAATATATTATATAAAAATCAATGTTCAATATTAAATTTTATATAATTCAATAAAATGAAGAAAACTGAATTTTGGTCTTTTACTGAAAAATTCATTTATCCATGGATTTTTATCAACAGCAGCTTATGTTTTCCTTTTGGTATCACCTATACGTAAAATAAATCAAACTGGACTTATATTTTCGATTTCTCTCTTTCCAGAAAAATATGTAAATTTTAGACCTCGATTTTTATTAAAAAAAATCGCTAGCATCAAACTACTGGGCCGATACCAAAACTATACAAGAGTTGTAGAGGGCTCAATTACCTTTGATTTAAGTGCTTGTTTGGTCAAATCGATCAATTATAACTTGAAGTATACTCTAAAAAGTCGAACAAGATCTCGAAAACCCTTCCATGAAGAAAAAAATTGTGAAAAAAGTGTGATTTTCGCGTTAAGTGAGCCAAACTACGCAAGAAAATCATAGTGAGACATGGTGGGCAAAATGCTGTGGACTAAAGTTATTAGTGACTGCTTTTTTACTTTGAAAACTAGTCATTTTTGACTAATTCATATTTAGAGGGCACGTCACTAAAAAACAGTTGTAGTTATTATATTGTTTAGATTGTTTTTTTTGTTTTCTATTTTTATCACTGAATATTTTTTGTGATTTTGTTTGTTTGGTAATTCAATAAATATTTTTTATACTTAATTTAAGCGTTTTTTTTTATTTAAGGGCTTAAAACATTTAATGTATTATATTTAAATATTAAAAGGGCGCACCAACGAATGCTGCACGTAGGCGCCAGACACCCCAGGAACGGGCCTGCCTGTATATTCAGGTATATGATAATATTCTCAATTAGTAAATCCTGTTTAATAACTAAAAACCAATGTAAAAAAGTATTTCAGTCAATGACCTGATGTCATACCTGTTCTGGTAGTCTTAAACGATATCAGTGTAAAATTCTCGTAGCCAATAACATATACAATCAGTTATATATAATTATATAGTCATTTAGTTTTACATACAAGTCAATTATTTTATAATTAAAGGGTTTGAAGTTAATTAGAACAAACGCATTTAAATGTCATCTTAATTTCAGGTGTTCCAACAACGGTGGACCTGGAAAACAATTCCAACCAGAAAAAGTATACCGTCAATCAGAATTCCGGAAAGGGTGGCTTGTATATATCGAAACCGCTTTGCACCCTGATGGCGATCGGGGCAGTTTTGCTTGCCTTATTGGTGGGACTTGTTGTGTTCTTCCTTGTGCCTCGTACTGAATGCAGTGCCATAGAGACTGTAGAAAATTTAACCAAAGACAATTTATTTAAGGCTGAAGAAATTGATGAAAGACTTCCTAGGAATGTGATACCCTATTATTATAGGTAAATCTTTTTTTTACTAAAATGTTTTAAATATAAGGATTTATTAGATATTTAAACTACTTCGTCTATAATAGTATTATAATAGTATAATAATACACTCACCGACAACAAAAACCGGCACCTAAATTTTTTTGACAATTTTGACATGTCATAACTTTTTTATTTTTGATTTTATTGCAATGATTTTTTCGCTGGACTATAGATCAATTCATTTAGATTGCGCTGCAGTTTATCCTGATAAAATTTTGGATGCTTAAAGGTTTATATACCAGGGTTAATAAAAATGTTGTTTTTATCCGTAAGTTTAAAACACCCTGTGGAAAAAACATGCAAATCAACCTTTTTCTAAACTGTTTTACTATAAATCTGGATGTGTTCCGAGTTTTTTGATTTTTTACATCATCTGTCCATCTCGTTTCTTTTACGAGCTACGCATTTTTAAATGAAACAACGTCATATTATATATAAAATATTATCCCACAAATGATCAATTGGGGGGAATTGTTAAATTTATTATGTTGGTATACATGCCCCGAAGTATGATAAAAACTTTAGCTGTTTTCATTGTTTGCTTTGTCTGTGGCAGCCGCTAAGGTTAGACGTGTTTTTATGAGCTCGGCGATTTTCGTTCGTTAAATGAAATGGAACAAAGAATTTGTATCCAATTTTGCTTAAAAAATAAAATAAATTCTGTAAAATGTTAACAAAGGCATATAGTGAGTCTATAACTAAAACAAGAGTTTCCAAGATGGCCGTGAAGACGTTGAAGATGACGAACGCTCAGATCGCCCAAGCACACTAACAACCGATAAAAACATGGAAAAAGTGGAAGAAATGATTATAAACCATCAGAGAAGTCGCTGATGATGTTGGCATATCGATTGGCTCATCCCATGAAATTTTTTCGAATGTTTTGGGTATGAAACGCGGGGCAGCAAAATTTGCTCCAAAATTGTTAAATTTTGAACAAAATTTTTGGCCAAAAACAATACTGTAATGATGCCCCAGCCTCCATATTCGCCAGACATGCCCCTGTCTGACTTTTTCCTATTCCCAAAAATAAAGAGAACCTTAAAGAACCGTCGTTTTGCAAGCATAGATGACATTAAAAGCGCATCGCTGAAAGAACTAAAGGCTATCCCAAAGATCGAGTTCTAGAAGTGTTTCGAGTATTGGAAGAAGAGCTGGCACATGTGCATAATATCCAATGGGGACTATTTTGAAGGCGACAACATTAATGTAGACGAATAAATAAATATTTTTTTCAAAAAACGAAAATTCCCGATATTTTCTGAACACACCTCGTATGTGCAACTCGTTTATAAACTTTTTTAGATCCTCATTTTACTAAATACTCGCTCGCAAGCTTCGCTCGTGCCTAATTAAAATTTGTAAGAAAAATGGCATTTATCAAAATGGATGCACAATATACCTACTATTAACTAGTTTTCTAACAGTGGTTGTTAAGGTATAAGGTACCAATATGTCAATGTTTTTAGAGAAAATTTGTGTCGTAATCGAATTTGCCACCTTGATGATTTTGACTCTTAAGTAGGTGTAATGTATTATAAGATCAATTCTGAGTGTTTACGTCTTACTAAGAAGTTCCTGTTTAATTTTAAATGTTGGTTTAGTAAACATTGTAGATCATTGATCTATCGAGGGATTCTTAAAATATGCTTAATATAAAAAGAACAAAACCTTAAATCAACAAAATCTGGCGAATTTCGTTTTTCTGGGTTGTAAATATATTTAGTCTAATATTGACTGACTGGTGCCAAGCCTCGTTATTGAGCTTTTAAATATAATTTGATTCAACGTTTTATATCCTGTAATAAAATGATACCTGCACCTTTATAATAATTTAATTAAGCGAATAACAGTTTCTAGTGTCAACAAAATTTAAGCGTCGCATGATTATAGGTGGTTATTTAGGTCAGGTGTATCTTTTTATAAAGGTCAAGAACGGTGTCATCCATAAATATAGCCTGGTACTAAATATAAAGCATACAGTATAAAGCAAAAAGAAAGTAAAAGCTACATTTTAAACAGAGTTTTTCTGTATACTTGAATTACTACAACTTAAATAAACAATATTGATGCGTTGATTGATGAAAAAAACATTGTTCATGTTCATAAAAGATTTTAAATTGAGCAGGCCAATATTTATTTTATAATTTAAATAGAAAAGAATTTCGCAAACATTAGTTTGTAAACTTTGTAAACGACCAGCAAATAAATGTTGCAATATTATGTGAAATGTCATAGACCATTAATACATTTAAGAGAGGCCAGACAAACATAAATTAATACACATCAAACTAAAAAAAAATTAACATTAATAAAAGCAATGACAAAAGAGTGAATCAATTTTATTTCAGTGTGTGATGCCATTGTTTACATAATGTGTTCTTTTTTATTTTAGTTCATAGCAACAACTCGTTACACCTATACAAGTCATCAAATGCGTTGGATATTTTTGTTGATACAGTAGCTGGTTTTGAATGGGGAATGTTTTGTTTTTCGGTAAATCATCAAAAAGCAAATAACATATGTTTATATAGCAGCCGGTGTCACAATATTCACCATAAAATATGGGCATCCTCGACATGTTTATTTTCTTTTGATCTTTTGACACTGCATGTATGGTGTATGCGAATACCTTAGGTGCTAAACTGTAATACCCTCCAGGAGTGATTTCTATACAGCGCACCACCTTAAAGGTGGATGATTTACAAACCCCAGAAATCCTAGAAAATTATTTAAAAATAGATGAGAGCGTACACATTAAGTTTATAAACTTAAAAAAAAAGTTTTACCTTGATTATATTAATATATCAATATACAATTGTTTAAAGTCTTATATTGATTATAAGTTTATCTATTTAAAAACCAGCAATGCTCTATAAGTATAAACTAAAAAAAAATAAACATTTCTTAAAACCTTTTCTAGGATATGTGGTAAAAATCAGTATGACCACAACAATGACCTTCATTAAGAAACCCATGGCGATGTATACAGGCTATAATTACCCCAACTCATTTTTTAAAATGTGATACCTTATTTAAAAGCTCTTAAAAATTGCTATTTAACGGTGCTAAAAAAAATACTTTTTAATAGTTTAATTGTAAACAAATACCAAAATAATTTTTATAATTTTGTATTCCATTTTATTGTTAAAAATATGAAATAAAACCATTAAATTTCAAATTAAACCATTTGTTGTAGTAAAAATATTAGTAAAAAAAGGGTAAAACAAAAAATAATTCTAACAAAAGTATAATAAACTAAAAAGCATAAAATTTATTTAATAAAAAAATTCAACAATAATCAAAACATTTTAATTTTTAACTTTTTAGATTAAATGCTCAAAATTACTCCCATGAGTCTATTTAAATAGTCTTTTATTATTTTGAAATTATACCATAGACAATGATTAAAATTATATTCTGTCAAAGAATTTCTGTAAAATATTGATAATATCAATTTGGTATGTATTTTTTTTAGTTAGTAATACTCACTGAGTATGTGTGTGGAGAATGCTTAAAAAATGCAAGTCATTTAGCCTGTATGTGCAATTTAATGTTAATATTTATTTAGTTTTTCATCATATATTTTACCTATGGTTTTATTTGTTCCTGACAGAGGCTCCCTGTAATTGCTTCTCTCAAGTATAACGTAAAATAAAAGTAATGAATTTAATACTTTTTAATATTGTTCAGAATTAAACTACAACTTTATATGTAAGCAATATTGCCATTTAAAAAAATATGTGTATCTATATCCTGTATCTTTTTAAATAACGGAGGTAGATTTTGTTTACAATTATCTGGGTCCGTAGACACCCTGTATTTGTATTATTAATAATCTTCTTTTGAGTCAAAACCAGTAAAGCTGCTGCGGCCACCTAAAAAAGTTTTTAATGTATTTATTTCGAAAACAACTGGGTTTTTTTAATATACAGGGTGTCATTTAACTTGAAACTAAAATATCTCAGTTAGTATGCTTTTATGAAAAAATGTTAATTGCAGAATCGTATAAAAAGAAAAATCGAACAAAATTGACTTTTTTTTTCATTACAGCGCCATCTATTACAAATATGAAAAAATGTTTTAGACAAAATCTACCTATTTTTAGTTGAATGATCCGAATCTGCAATAAAACATAGGGTGTTCAATTGGAAATTTTAAATGTATCCCCTGTTCCGCCTATAAGGAGTACTGATTGATTTCCCCCCTCGAATCATTTAATTTTTATTTTAAACATTTTTTCGTAAATGCATACTAACTGAAATATTTCAAAGTTTCAAGTTAAATGACTCACCCTGTAAATAGGTCTCGATATGTATTTAAAATATAATTATTTATATTTTTTCCTAAAAACATGTGGTCAAAAATGCTTTATAAGGGAGCATAGGGAAGTGTACTCCCATTTCAAGATGGCACTCAACATTAACATTTTATTTTTATCTCAGGTGTACTTTATCTAATAATAAATTTGGCGCAAGTACTGCAGTACATGTAGTACTAAAGTTAAAAAATGCCACTTTTTGTTGTAGACCCAATATCACCCACATCCATAAGATTATAAAATAAACTATAAAATACTAAAATTAAAAAAAATAATCCAAGCTTCATCATCGTCACCAAACTTTAATTCCTAATCCAAAGCTACTTATTTAAATTATAATTTATAATTATTATATATAATAAATAATAAATTTAAAACATTTTTTAGCATACAATTATTACCAAATTTGCTAAACGAAACAACAGAAGGAAAAGAATCGATTCACCTAAATATAAAAGGAGATACAAATGAAATTATTTTCCATTTAAATGAAATTAAGATCGACACACATTCCGTAAAACTAATTCATAATAATAGTGAAATTGCAATTGACAATCAGGACTACATAGACGGCCAAAGATATAAAATTGTAACGAAACAACCACTTATAAAAAATGCCGATTACGAATTAAAATTTGACTTTACTGGAAATCTCAACAAACATTTACAAGGATTCTACAAAATTTCGTACCAAGAAAACCAAATTGAACAGTAAGTACCAAAAATTTGCCTAAAATATTCAAATTTAAAATAATATCTATTTTTTTTAGAAATGCTGCTAGTACACAATTTTCTCCAACCGATGCGCGTAGGGCTTTCCCTTGTTTTGACGAACCTTTCTTTAAAGCCCAATTTAAAATTAAGATTGGAAGGCCTTCAAATTTAATTAGTTTATCAAATATGAACTTGAAAGAAACCTCACCAATGCAAGTTATTTTAAGTCATGCTTAATTTTATATTATATATTTTTATTACTTTATAGTTTGGAAATGTCTGGATGGAACTGGGATACCTACCACGTAACCCCAAAAATGTCAACATATCTGGTGGCGTTTATGGTAGCAAATTTGACAACTCTAAGTCCACAAGGCAATTTCATTCGTGTTTGGTCACAACCAAGTTTGGTTGAGCAGACCCGCTACGTCAACGAGCTTGCACCAAAAATACTTAAATTTTTCGAAAATTATTTTAATATCTCCTTTCCTCTGCCCAAAATTGATATTGTTGCTGTACCAGAGTTTGGATTTAGTGCCATGGAAAACTGGGGACTATTAACTTTTAGGTAATTTTTAATACTAAATTTTATATAGTGAAATATAATATCTCTAAAATTTCATCAGAAATAAGGAATTAATATTTTATGCTTCCGGAAATATTATCTTTACATATTAACTAAAACATAAAATTTCACAAAATCTATTATTACTGTTTTTATTGGAGGTTAAATAGCTGATAAAAATTTTACAGCTGTTGTTCGTGTGTGGTCATTTACGTACTTTTGAAGTCCAAAGTAAACTATCCAATATCATTGAGAATAATAATAAAACAGTTATAAGGTCTTCTTCCATGAATTACACGAAAAATTTGAATTCCAAATTTATTTTAAAATAGTCAGTTGCGATAATTTTTTGTGTAGCTGCAATATTTTTAGCTGTTCAGTTTTTAATCTTGTTGTTAAAAGACCCAGTTTCTTTTAATTGAGGGGCTCGGTGCAAGAACCAGGTATCTCCATATTCGGAAAATGTTCAGGAGACAAGAAAAACCTTGTTAAAATTATTTTATACAATGTCATTAATTTTTTTATGGGTACTATAGACCAATTGACATTAAATTACCAGATTTGCGGTTTATTATAAAATCAGTTACTATTAGTAATCGTAATAGTAACTATGGAGATACCTCGTTCGTGCCCAGTAATTACAAAAAAATAAGTACTTACACGTCTTTACAATAATAAACTTATTATCCAAAAATTAAGTAAGGGGCCGTCCATAAATGATGTCACACACTTGGGGGGAGAGGGTCGTCGGAAATGTGATAGCCGGGGGGAGTTTTAGCAAGGTTGTGACGCCACAAAGAGTAAATTAAAAAAATATTATAATCTTTTTTTTGTATTTTTATTCAAAGTAGGTATTTAATAAAGGATAGACCTAACTTAAAAATAAAATTAGTGTGACGTGACGACAGTGGGGGAGGGGGGGTACTATAATTTGTGACACTTTGTGACAAGAGGGGAGGGGGGTCAAAAATATTTAAAAAAAGTGTGACATCATTTATGGACAGCCCCTAAGAAAAAATAAATTTTGGAACAAACATTTATTATTATGGTCAAAAAAATATTTTTAACAAAAAATATTACATTTTGGTATTATTCAAATTCGCTACATTCAGAATTTTCTCCGGAGTTACCTGATTATTGCACAGTATAATTTCTGAGGTATCTCCTGCATCAGATATATTTAGTTAACGCTAACGTGGATCTACAGGGTTTGTGCACCGAACGATGCGGACTCAATTTAGCAAAAATATGGAGATACCCGGTTCTTGCACCGAGCCCCTCAATTGTTTTACTTAACTTCAAACTGATATAATTACACAAGTTTACAAATTCCGGCCAACTTTTGGACCCAAGCAAATTACAACGTTATTTGATGCGCTGAATTCGAATCTTCAATCCATTTGGCAACATTGGTTCTAGCTTTTCAGTTCTCGCAGGCAGGGATGTCAGAATCTGTCAAAAAAATCCGCTAGATTTTGTTTAAATGCACCTTTATTACAAAAATGACACAATTAACAATACTGAATAACGTCAAATTGACCATTTGCATTGTATCAATGTGTCATTTTTGTGATTAAGGTGGATTCAAACAAAATCTAGCGGATTTTTTTGACAGATTTTGGCATCCCTGCTCGCAGGTGAAGGGAAGGATTTTCAGTACTTAATCAAGTTGTTTCCGAATTTGCCGTACGCAAAAATCAAAGAAGGAATATTTGTCGGACCTGATATTCGAAAACTAATGACCGATGGAAACTATACAAAATGTTTAACGCCCGATGAAGCGGCAGCATAGACCTCTTTTCGAATTGTTGTTCACAACTTTCTTGGTAACGGCAAATCCCCGGATTTCAAGCAAATCCTCGGCAATTTGTTGCAATATTAGCGCAAGATTGGATCTCGGATGTCTCTCAAAATGCATTTCCTCTATTCCCACCTCGATTTTTTCCCTGAAAACTTGGGCGATACGAGAGCGGCTACACCAAGATCTCGCAAACATTGAAAGGCAGGCCCGTTCCTGGGGTGTCTGGCGCCTGCGTGCAGCATTCGTTGGTGCGCCCCTTTTATATTTAACTATAATACATTAAATATTTTAATTTTAAGCCCTAAAATTTAAAATATATGTATTTTGCGACAAACTGGCAATATGTGATTGAAAAAACCGCTTAAATTAAGTATAAAAAATATTTATTAAGTTACCAAACAAACGAAATCACAAAAAATATTCATATATATATATATATATATATATATATATATATATATTATATCACGAGAACTATTAATTTAATCGGTTAAACTACCCAAATAGCATTTGGACGTCCGGCCAACGTCGCTTATAACAACCCGACGTCGGTACACAACGTCTGCGCGACTACGTATTTACTTGAATCTGCACCAAAATGGGGAATAAAAATCCTGGTCGGTACGACGTCGGACGCGACGTCGGATTAAGAAAGAATTCCTTACTAAATTCAACGTCGGTTTGGACGACTCTCCCGACGTCGTCTTGTTCCAAAACAATATACTCGGGACGACCTTTCTAACACTGGCCGCTAGTGATTAGCGCCCTCTTGATTAACATTGTGTAATCATAGAGTACGAATATATTTTAACCAACAGATGGCATCATGGCATCAAACACAATCATCCATACAAACGAAACAATCATGTCGCTTACACTAACTAATTTATAGATATTATTTTCGTTAAGAATGGAATTGTATCGCAGAGAGATTCTTAAATTATACAAACACAGGTCACTTTACTGATGAATGTGACCGAGGTGGATCAAAAAAAATTAATGCGCCCTAATAAATATTTAAATTAACAATTTTTTTCGGAAGAAAAAAAAATAAACATATTTTTTTTTGTGCAGATATCAATGTGAAAATGCACCAAAACATCTTTAAGAATTAACTAAAAACTACGAGACATAATTTTTAACTTTATTTTAAACATTCAATGGGTAAAAGTGAATATTCGTGATGATCATTACTCGAGTTGCAAATATGGATGATATAAAAATGGCGTAGTTGGGAAACTCCAGATATTTAACCGTACTCCGACGAAGTGTCTATAAATTTTTACTGTTTCATTACTTATTTGGACCAAGAGGACAACCAAGTCTTAAAGCTTGCACCATTTCCGACCGCGGTGCACCCTTCGTATTACATTACTACGTCGGTCCGACTTATTTGCCCCAACGTCGTTCCGGGTCTGTAGATACAACTATCACATGACTAAAAATAGTAACCTTCTTTATCTCTAACCTTACTTATTTTGGATGGTGACTTGTTTGTTGATTAATTCTTTGTTGGTCTGTGTCTGTTTTGCACAAAAAATGGGCGAACATCATTTTAAAGTTGTTCAAAAAGATCTAGGGGAAGTCGAGCCGGTACCCCATCAATGGGAGGAAAATGGGGTTTTATATTGGCCCATAGACCCATAGATAGACCCATGTATAGACAACTTGTCTCTGCTAGTCTGGCTAGTTCTTTTTTTGTTAATCATTCGCAACCGTGATTAATTTGAATTTTTGTATAAAATATAGACAGGTATTAAAAAAACATAGGGCCTAGCATACTCCTTGGGAAGGAAACTATAAGAAATCATAACTTTAACTTAGATGATTTTAAGAAGTTGAAAATAACTAAATATGTATCTATATGATAGGGTGATAGAATGTTACTGATATTAAATCGTGGTTTATGTCCCAGCAATAACAACGCAACTATAACCTCACTTTTAACCATAGAAAAATAAACAAAACAACACATTTTTGACCTACAGTCCGACGTCCCATTTGCACTACTTCGCAACGTTGCCTTCGAGGGAAAGAAGCCAACGTCGGACCATCGTTGCCGTACTCCAGTAATATTTCCTACATATATTTAATCGTTGCGCGGACGTCATCAGTGGACAGATTATAATACTCTATAGGTGTTATAGTCGCAGACGTTGTGCAGTCGTCGTCTGGACGACTTTTTGCAACTTTATATTAGAAGTTCGAAAACAACTTTGATTTGCACAATGACCGACGTTGGTTCTGGTACAAATTTGGTCGGGAGTCGCGAAGCTCTAATGAAAATGCTATTTGGGTAGGCTCAGTAGTTTTTTGTTTGGTTTTTGTTGGAAAATGTTGAATGCAAAATAATTTAATAAAATCACGAGACCGCGTAGCGGTCGAGGGGTTTTATTTTTAATTATTTTGCATGAAACTATTTTCCAAAAAGAAAAATCAAATAAAAAACTTACTGAGCATAGTTTGACAGATTAAATTTATAGGTTGAGTGATATACGCCCTAGTAGAAATTTTACGTAGAAACAACGTTTTTCCCACGTTGGCAAAACCTAACTTTTATGTATAATTTTATGTTGAAATGTCCCGGTTTATAACGTTATCTGACAACGTTAGTTTTTAATGTTATAAAAAACGTGGGATTTACGTATTATAAAACGTTGCAAATACGTGGGTTTTGTGTATTATACAACGTTGCTTTTATGTATTATAAAACGTTGCAAATACGTGGGATTTGTGTATTATACAACGTGGGAAATATGTGGGTTTTGTGTATTATAAAACGTTGGAAATACGTGGGATTATTGTATCATAAAACGTTGGATTTTTTTATAAATTTGGGTAGGATTTTTCTTTATTATTGGAAAATTTAATATATATTTAAAAACAACAAAAATTTATTATACAAAAAAAATACTTTGGAAAAAAAATTCCCAATTAACAAAATCTAAAAAATATTATCTAATAATATTATACTTAAAGTAAACAAATTAAATTATAACAAAATAGCTTTAACAAAAAATTTACAATGGTATTTTAAAAAGAAAAAATATTGCCTATATATATAACAATTTTCTATACAAGATACTACAACTTTTAAATCAATATTAAAATTAATTAAAAATACCCAATTAACAAAATCTAAAACATATTATTAATATAATATTATATACTTAAAGTAAACAAATAAAAATATAACAAAATAGCTTAGACAAAAAATTTTCAATGGTATTTTGAAAAGAAAAACTATTGCCTATATTCATATAGGTATTAACAATTTTCTAGATACAAGATACTATAACTTTTAAATCAATATTAATAAAAATCTAAAAAATCCTATTTAAATATTAACTAGAAAAATTCAAATATAAGTAACATAACTTAAAACATGGCCTAAAAAAAATAACAATGCTGGTATTTTAAAGAGAAGAAATATTGCCTATTAACAATTATTACAAATTTTCTAAATAAAGGATTAAACAAATTATAAATTAGCAACAAAAATAAAAAGTCAAAGAAATTTAAGTAGTTACCTAGTTAAAATATAAGTCTAAATAAAACAATTAACAATGAAGGTGAGTTTAAAGTCACAAATTTTTAATTTTCATTAAGGGTTTTGATGCTTGGCAAAATAAATTTTAGCAATTACGAATATATAAGAAAAAATGTGAGGATTTTTGCTTTTAAATAAAAATTTAGAGCACAAGCATTAAAAGGAAAAAATACAAGCAAAAATAGTATTTTTGCCTATATTTTTTTATACACTTGAAAGTTTTAAAATTGATTTTGTATAGTATACAAATTTATTTATTAAATGCAAAAGATTGTGACCTAAAATTGATTTACATATGGATATAATTTATTAATATAAAAATTATTAAGAACCTTTGATTGTTAAAAAAAATCTAATAGATTTGGCTGGTAACCAACACACAATGGTAAATGATCTCCTCCAGTGTCAGCAAACATTAGAAAAGTTGAAAAATAGTTTAATATTCTGAGTTTCCTTTTTTCACAACATTTTGTTGTTTCCCTGGGTAACCAGGTGCTGGCAAAGCATCCCTTATTTCCTTTACTTCTGATCATCATGAACTTCTGATCTGGATCTTTTTAGATTTTTAGCATTCCTTTGAGTAATCACAATTTTTGCCTCCGGAAAGAATTTAGCCAGTCATTGCCAGGAAGGTTTTCTTTAAAACAACTAATTATCACTGCTTTGTGGTTTAGATATGACTGCACTCTTTTGTATCTTGTCTTGCAAAAGATTATCCATTATCCGCAGATCATCTGTGGCAGATGTAATCATTACACTTGCAATCTACCCAAAGGATAGACGATTGTTTATCACCTCTGCCATGGCCAATTCAATATTTTCTGGGTGATAATTTCTTTGATACACTGTTCCAGGAACATGTTTATGCTTTTAAGGCATCGTCACAGAACAAAACTTATTTTACATAAGGCATCGTTCCAAATAACCCTAAAAATCCATGCAAAAAGCAACTGTTTAAAAAAAACACTAACAAATTGTTTGTGGTGATTGTTTAGGTTACTAAAAGTTATTTGCCATCCCTATCAGATAAAAATTACCTTATCTTTTAATTATTTTTCCAAAAAACACGGAAGAATTTGCACAAAATTTCGCACGATGTCAACACTTAACCTAAAATAAAGAAATAAACACTTCGTGATAGAGCGGTAAATTTGAATTTTTCTTCGTTTGTTCCGTGTAACCCATAGAAATAATATCACAGAATTTTGTGATAATACTATGGTGTAACCTCTGTTGTTCCATCACCTAACTACGATAGTAAACCTTTATTGAAACTATAATAATTTTAGGTATCTAATAGTAGGTTTTGTGTATTTCGGCCTTATTTTTAAAACTATTACTTAAAAATTGTATTGCATAGTTAAATTTGATTTTACTTTTATAACTAATGTTACAAAGACTAAAAATTTAAAAAAAATCCACATTAAAAATTTTCTCGACGGGACTTAAAATAATTTTATGTTGCTAAATGTGTGTTTTGGAACGTTGCTGCAACGTTTCTAGCATACAATTTTACAACGTAGTTTGAAAGTGGGTTTTGTGTATTTCGCTCATATTTTTGATATTATGACTTTGAAAATGTGTTGAAGGGTTTTATTTTACTTTTATAAGTAATGTATAATAAAAAAAAATTGAAAAAAAAATCCTCAGTAAAAAAATTTTTGTCGGGACTTTGAAAAAATTTTATGTAGCCAAACGTGGGTTTTGGAACGTTGTTGCAACGTTTCCAGCAATACAATTCTGCAACGTTGTTTGAAAGTGGGTTTTGTGTATTTCGCTCATATTTTTGATATTATGACTTTGAAAATGTGTTGAAGGGTTTTATTTTACTTTTATAAGTAATGTATAATAAAAAAAAATTGAAAAAAAAATCCTCAGTAAAAAAATTTTTGTCGGGACTTTGAAAAAATTTTATGTAGCCAAACGTGGGTTTTGGAACGTTGTTGCAACGTTTCCAGCAATACAATTCTGCAACGTTGTTTGAAAGTGGGTTTTGTGTATTTCGCTCATATTTTTGATATTATGACTTTGAAAATGTGTTGAAGGGTTTTATTTTACTTTTATAAGTAATGTATAATAAAAAAAAATTGAAAAAAAAATCCTCAGTAAAAAAATTTTTGTCGGGACTTTGAAAAAATTTTATGTAGCCAAACGTGGGTTTTGGAACGTTGTTGCAACGTTTCCAGCAATACAATTCTGCAACGTTGTTTGAAAGTGGGTTTTGTGTATTTCGCTCATATTTTTGATATTATGACTTTGAAAATGAATTGAAGAGTTTTATTTTACTTTTATAAATAATGTATAATAAAGTATAAAAATTAAAAAAAAAATCCTTATTGAAAAATTTTCGTCGGGACTTAGAAATAATTTTATGTATCTAAACGTGGGATTTGGAACGTTGCTGCAACGTTTCCAGCAATACAATTCTGCAACGTTTCCAAGACAACGTTTTAACTACAAATTTCCCACTTAAAATCATACATTAAAATAACGTTTCCAAGACAACGTTTTAACTACGTATTTTCCACTTAAAATGATACACTAAGACAACGTTATGAGTATAACAAATTATTATACAAATTTGCAACGTTGTCTGAATGTATGCAAACGTTATTTTCTACCAGGGCGTCTAGATTATTTCTCGAATTAAAGGAAACTATTTGAAAATTCATAAAATCTGACGTATGTGTCAAAATTTATAAATATTTTTTTAAAGAAAATTCCATTAATTTAAGGTATGTAATAAGTAATAATTGATATTTCGTAAACTAGATAACTTATTTTTTATTGTTTTTTTAAAAATGTTTGTTAAAACTTGTAAATAACACCATAAAATCGTAAACAAAAATCCAATATTGAGGCTAAAATTTAATCGCTGTTAAATAGCTCTAGTGATTTAATCGCTTATTTAAACGAAATTTATTCGAAAATTCAAGGCTTTTGATTGGTTCATATTGTAATGAGGGAAATAATCAGTGATAAAAATACTCTAAAGAAAACAAAAAAAACAATCTAAACAATATAATAAACAATCTAAACAATATAATAACTACAACTGGTTTTTAGTGACGTACACTCTATAAAAATGACTAGTTTTTAAAGTAAAAAAGCATTCACTAATAACTTTAGTCCACAGCAATTTGTATCCCGGGCATTTAACAGCTTATTTTTATGTAAAATTGTCCCCTGAATCCGAAAAAATACCGTCAAAAATAATAAAAGTAAAGCATCTTTTAAGATATAGTAAATTCCATATTATAAGGAAAATTTACTAAATCTCAAAAACGATATAATTTTATAACTTTTGACGACATTTTTGGATTCAGCGGACAATTTTACATAGAAGTTGACTGCTAAATGTCCGGGATACAAATTGCTATTGACGATAATTATTAGTGGCTGCTTTTTCGCTATAGCAATTAGACTAATTGAATTAGTCATGTTTGACTAATTCTATTTAAGAGTGTTACTACTGTTAAACTTTGCTACCGTCAACTGCAACTATCAAACAAATACTAAAAATAATATGACCATTTCTCTCCTTTTATTTTGATCCTCATATCAAAACAAAATAAGCCGCCAATATCAAAGCGGCAAAAGGCGCTTTATAGCGACAAAAAAAAAGGCGGCCGACGCAAAAAAAGCGAAAACGTTTATCCAATGTATGTTTAAGTATTATATGCAAAAAAGTTTATCGTTACAAAGTACTGATTGACTTTTTGATTTCGCGCCCCCGAAATGTTGCGCCTGCGTGCGTGCACGCACTGCACGCTCGCCAGGAACGGGCCTGTTGAAAGGAGATACCAAGAATTTTGGAATGAACGCATGATGAGCGAGTACTGTTGGATATAATGCGTGAAACGGATCCAAAACAATATAAAAAACTTAGTTCCACCGCTCTTCATTTCTAATTTATTAATTTTAATTGCCATTAAATAAATATATTTGCCAAAGATCGTACAAATTTAATTTATTTATTATCTCGAAGACTAGAACCAATCTTAAAAAACGGAGTGAAGATTTGGATTCAGCACCCCAAGTTACCTTAAAAACAACTTTTGGTTGCTCAGGTCCAAAAGCGTGTACACTTGTGTTATAGAAGATGCATTTGTAGAAACCAATATTTTGTTTGAATTAATGTTTAAATAATAAAATCTTAAATCATTTAGAGAGAGCACTTTACTCTTTGATGAATCCACTACCACTACGGAACAAGAAACATCGATTGCTTTAGTTTTGGGACACGAAATAGCTCATCAGTGGTTTGGAAATTTGGTGACACCGAAATGGTGGAATGATTTATGGTTAAAGGAAGGTTTTGCTACCTACTTGGAATACCTTGGTGTTAACAACGTAAGAATGTCTAATAAACATTAAACTTTATAAAATAATTATTTTTGTTGTGTAGGCACTTCCCTACTGGAAGGTAGTTGACGAATTTGTTGCCTCAGAAACAACAAAAGCTTTCGCCATAGATGCATTGGAATCATCGAGGCCCATATCCTTCACTGTTATCAACAGCAGGCAAATCAGACAAACTTTTGACGAAATATCATACTCCAAAGGTGCCTCATTGATAAGAATGATGAATCATTTTTTGGGCGAAGACACCTTCAGGCATGGATTGATTAACTACTTGAACCGCTACAAATATGACAACGCTGATCGCGACGATTTATTCGCAAGTTTAACAGAGGAAGCGCATAAAACTAACGCATTGGAACCTAACGATACGGTTAAAGTTATTATGGACAGCTGGACAGAGCAGGCTGGTTTCCCAGTTGTTTCTGCCATTGGCGATTATGTAAACGGAAGGGTTAAATTATCGCAGAAAAGATTTTTGCTTACCAGTTCCAAGGAATACGATACCTCATGGTGGGTACCCATTTCAATGACAACTGATTTGAATGAAAACTTCGCAGATACCAAACCTGCAGTTTGGATGCGAGGAGAAAAACAATTGGAAGCTAAAATAGACTACAGGAACTGGTATTTACTTAACATTAACCAAACAGGTAGCTAGCATTGAATTTTGCGAATATCTAGTATACAGTATTTTTAACGTTTTTTTTATTAAAAGGTTATTACATTGTGAATTACGATGAACGCAACTGGAGGTCTATTATTGAAAATATAATGCATTTTCCACCTTTAACAAGAGCCCAACTCATCAGCGATGCTATGGACCTGGCCAGGGCAAGCTTGCTAGATTACGACATACCTTTGAGATTGCTTTCCAAAATGGCCGTAGAAGATGCATCAGTTATGTTTATACCAACTATGGTATCTTTGAATAAATTAAAATTCTTTAATAATATTTTAAGTAACACGCCCATCTATGGATTATTCCAAGTAAGTTTATGCTTGTTTATTTACTAAGTTTAATTAAAAAGTAAAATAAACAGGGTGTTAACAAAAGGTTGTCGAAATAATATTTTTTTATATAGACAGTAAAAGAAACGACTCCTATTATAGGCCTAAGTGAGCTAGAGTCGAATAAGGGTTATAATATTTCGCATCAAATGGTGTAAAAATTGTTCCATTTAAAATAAGAACGTTATTGACATTTAAAGTGGCAAAAAGGTCTAACTAATTGAAATAATATTTCAAACAAATTAAATATTTCAAAAACAGTTAAAGATAAAAAACGAATCAAAATTCAATAGCTTAAGAATTGTACGTATAATTTAAGTGAGAGCGCATTGAAATGTTTTGAAAAAATAGATCATATAGCGCTGTAGCTGCAACAAAATTTTGGATTGATGTCTGTTTTAGTTTTTTATGAACCTCTGATGAATCAATTAAGTGAATCTCCCTTTATACAGGAACTAGCTCTAGCTCACTTAAAGTTTTTTGAGTTCTACCACCTGGTAAATTTTTGACAACCTTTTGTTAACACCCTGTGTTTAAGGAATTTAAATAAATAAAGGTGTTTTAGACTGACTCAACCTCACTTTCCTTCAATTAAATTATTTTTCTATGGTATTTTTTGTAATGTGGAATTGCATATTCCGTTCTCGTCTCTAACTTCGGCTCGTGTGACAAACTTGTCACTTCAGCGGAATATGCTGTTTATTTATGTATAATATGTTACCACAACTAACATAAAAATATTCAAAATTTGAAACTTTATTCTATTTTTAAAATATTCTGTGAACATCTCTGTTGTAAATGACCGATTAATTCCTTATAGAAACCAATTAAAGTATTGGTTGGTATCAATAGGTCTGAATTGGACTTACTGGGTTTAATTGGGAGTGATATAAAACAGAAATTGTATTTTACTGGTATTTTCCATGATGGGAAATTCCGATTAGGATTCTACTGTTTTGTAGTGGTTTCGATTGGTTAAAGCTACCAATAGGTAATTTCCAACTGAATTCAATTGGGCATTCCCAGTGTAGGATTCTAGAAAGGAATCTGCTAATACTTTAAAATATGAAAAAGTCCAATTATAATCCTATAGGATTCTACTGTTTTTTAGTGGTTTCGATTGGTTAAAGCTACCCATAGGTAATTTTTAATTGAATTCAATTGGGCATTCCCAGTGTGAGATTCTAAAAAGGAATCTGCTAATTGCAATTATGATTATTCCCAATACTTTAAAATATCGCAAGAGGGCTCTCGTGTAGCTGCGCAAAACCAATGTACGCAGTCCTTGTTCGAATGGTTGAGACGCCATCATAAAGAAACAAATAAGTCTTTCGGAAATATATACCTAGTCTGATTTTATTTGCCATTTTAGGCTTACCACCAAACAATATTTGGAAATACTTACGGCTTGGTAAAATTGGAAGAAGATGCTAGAATTTATGATTACATTACCAAAAGAATACGTACTGTTGTTTTGGAATGGTCCTGTCAAAATGTGGAATCGCCATGCTCGTATGCCTCTCGGGATTATTACAGAAAATGGATGACAGATAGGAAAATAATGTAACAATTTTTTTTCTTTTAAATTATACATTTATTAAAAAATATTTCTAGAGTTCCTAAAAATTTGAGACAAATTGTTTATTGCACTGCTATTCGCGAGGGAACACATTTTGAGTGGGACTTCGCTTACAGTCAGTATCTCAAAACAAACGTTCCGGCTGAGAAAAACGTTTTATTAGATGCGCTGGGTTGCACAAAAGAAAAATGGTTGCTTTCAAGGTATGTAAAATAATTACAAATTTTGACAATAACAATTAAACGGTGCTAAAAAAATTAGATGCAGCTATTACCAATAATAATAATTAGTAGTTTATAAATCATGTAAGATTCTTCTTAAATACAGGCCCACAAAAACAAAAAAGTGGATTGAACTTTACATGTGAGTATACGCATTACGCATTATTAAATAAAACGATGTTTTCAGCCCTAGCCTAGGAAAAACGTAGAAAATTGTGCAAAAATCGAAGTTTCTTGCAGGCCTTTTTCGTACGGGAAAGCTGATATGTTTCCGTCTTCTAAGTTCCGTGTTCATTTCTGTCATCAGAATTTTCATCCAGATCCTCACAATTGCCCTAGCCTACGAAAAATTCCATCATATTAGTTCGTTCGTCTTTTACTTGTTCCTTAATCGTCAAACGTCCGACAGAGTGGATTCCTCTTTCTTTTTTTTCTTTTACCTGCAACCTCCCTCTTCAAAAACCAGCAAAAATTTGCCATCATGTGTTCATCCCATCGTCCCTGATAATGATATCTAGGTGGAAACGTTCTCCTTGTTCCTCACTACTCACCAAGATTTTCAGGCAAGTGTTCTTAAAATTTTTGCAACATGTTTTTCACTATTTTCTTATAATTGTCGCTTTTAAAGTTACCTAAGAAATTTTCCCTTATCTTTGCACATTTTTCGTAGGCTAGGGCAATTATGAGGAGCTGAATAAAAATTCTGATGGCAGAAATGGACACGGCATCAGCTTTCGCGTACGATGATGAAACGATTTTTGCACAATTTTTTACGTTTTTCCCTAGGCTAGGGAAATTGTAAAGTACTCTGGAACTTTTTTTGCGTCAGATATGAATTCCGGAACTCAAAATACGAAAATATATAAGCTTTCTTGCGCAAAAATACTGCCTTCCAGAAATCGCAAGTTTTGCTCAGCTTAACACTTTTTTTCCTATAGGAAAAAAAGTGTTAAGCTAAAGGCTAGTGGAATTTTTAGGGAAATTCTACAGTGATATTCGAACTAAGCGATACGGGAAAACAATATCGTTTCATTTAATATTGGGTAGATCAACATTGCTTTCACAGATACTGAAATTTCCAAGATTTCACGAATTTCCCCTAGGCTAGGGGAAAACTGGGGGGTCCAGGGGAAATTCTGATACCGGATTCGGATGCAGCGGCTCAAAATCCATAGGGGTAGTATACTCACATGTTAAGTTCATTCCACTTTTTTTTGTATCATGTTATGTTTATAACGTGGTAAAATAAACTTGGCTGAAATAGTTATTAAGTAACTGTTCATTTTTGATGAAATTAGGTATGTACCTATTCTAGTATGCCGCGTTCAGTGGCGTTCTTAATTTCTCCTAAATGTGTTTTATTTTTCGTTATAAATATTAAAAAAATAATAAATAATATTTATGAAATTTAAATTTGTATTTACCTACTCATTTTAAACCAAGCCGCATTTAGGGCCGTACTGATTTTTTTTCCAAAAAACGACACTAAGAATTTTGACATAGAAAAAATGTTATATATAGTAGACATCTGTCGGGTGAGTATTTGCTCATTAAAATCAAGTTACAAATACAAAAGCAACGGGGTTGTTTCAATCTTAAATGGGCCACACTGTATAGGTAGTTTATCACTTCATAATTTACTTTTGTAAAAGTATTTTTTAACTAACTAACATATTTTTATATGACAAATGTCTTGTAGCTATTTGGATAAATTGATTGATGAAAATTCTAGTATTAGGATTCAAGATGCAGATCGAGTCTTTGATTCTGTATCCCGCCACAGAGTCGGGACCTCCTTGGCTTTTGACTTTTTGAGAAAACATTGGAACAAGTTACAGGAACAGTAAGCTGACTAAAAATATCAACTTTATAATATTTAATTAAACCTTGTTTTAGATATGGCGATGGATTTAATATTCTAGCTAAAATGGTTAAATCATTAGCGCCAAATATGAACTCTGAATTTCAATTGGAAGAGGTACGTATTAATGTACTACTTTTTAAAATTAAAAATTCATTTAAACTATAGTTGCATGCCTGTTTGTATTAATTAATTTAATTATTAAAAAAATTTTCAGTTAACTAGATTCAGGGACAGTATTAAAGCAAATATAAGTACTACAAGACAAGGATTCGACAGTGCAATTGAAACTGTTAAAGCTAATGTTGAATGGATGCAGAAAAATTATGATTATGTTGAAAAATGGTTGACGGATCATAAAGACAAATATATTTTTTAAATAAAATTTACTTTATTTAGGTAATTTTGTTTTAAGAAAATTTCTCATCACATTTTTTTACGTTTTTTTGTCCCAAAGAAATCAAATTAATGATTACCAATCATATTATATGTTTTAATAGTATTATTATTTTGGCTTATTAAAAAATCACGCATACAATTTAATACTATAATCAAAGAGTGAAGAGTTGTGACCTCCTCAATCAACGCCATAATTGTATTTAAATTTACCATTACTTTATTATTACTAGTCTTACTGCATTGGGACAATATTTTATTTTAAAACAATTAAATGAAATCACAATACGCTTTAAAATCTCTAAATTTCTATAAACAACACTGCTTTCCTAGTTTAGTATATTAAGTAAATAAAAATGTGCTATTAAAGAATTTTAAAGTGGTAATATTAACTTAAGTGAAAAAGTGTACCTTATTTTTTGTAAAAACACTGTATATTTATAATAGGTACTTAATCTGTATTTTAAAATTAACATATGTATTTTAAATATTTATTTTAAATATATAAATATATAACATACTTGTGAACATAGGAATACAGAATACAGTTACATAATTTATTTTATTATTACATTAAATAAATTATTATCAAACCCCCAATAAAACAAAAAGTAGTTTTAATTTTTTTATTTACGAAAATTAAGTTTAAATGGTTTATGAGGATTTTTACCCATAAATATAAAGGTGAGTCGTATTATTTTGAGCAGTATCTGCCAACAAATAGAATAGTGCCTGAAGTATGTTTTACGGTGTATAAAAATGGACGGTTGGCTATAAAATTGGCCGTGTTCTTATGTACGATAGGGGCACTTAATAATGCTACCAATCCTAAAATAAAAACAAATGAATAATTTATAGAAATAATGAATTATGTCCCGCATATAAGAATGCATTATACCAAGAAAAAATAAGTGTAGGTACATTGTTAATTTAGTAAGTTACCTGTTTTCTACTGCTACCTAATTTTTTTTAATCACAAAAGCATTTTATACATTTTATTTCAATTTATGTTACAGTGTTTAATCGATGATCACAGATTTTGCTAATAAGTCTATTTTATCCTAATCATTGTAGATTTGGGGATTTTTATTTTGCAATTTTTCTATTTTAATTTAAGATACAAATTTCAATCGTATCAAGGTAAAAAGCATTTTAAAATATGTAACTTGATTTAAAAATATAACAACAATTTATTAATATTTCAAATTATGTTAAAATTTTAAAATAGTATAATAATATAATAAAATGCTTCTACTCCAATAAGGTAGGTTTCATTAATAATTATTATACCCTTACTTTCTCCCAAATTTAAAGATAATAATAGTCGCCCCTCGTATATATAAAAAAATTGGTTCATATTTTAGTGGATATTAAATTAAAATCGGTTAATTGAAGAGGTCGGGGCAATAAGGGACCTATGCCTTAATGAAAAAATATTAAGTAAACAACGTTTAAAGTGTGAAATAAAAAGAAAAGAAATTTTAAACTTGTATAACCTTTAATAAAATTTAAGTGGTTTATTAAAACTAATCACAATATCAAAATAAGAAATTTTAGGGTTGAATCATTATCTTTAAACTTTGCTTGCTTAATATTTTTCCAAAGAGACTTAGGTCCCTTATTGCCCCGACCTCTTCAATTACTGATGCAAAACAACGTAAATAATGAGTTTATTATTCCTGTTTTTAGGCGGATCTTTTATAATGGTTACCATTAAATACGCAAAAACCTAAATAATGTCAATAATATGCAATAGGAACAACCCTTTATTGCTAGGGTGATTTTCTTTCGTTTAATCATTGTTTGGTGAAAAAATATTTATCTTACATGTCCATTATCCCAATTTAAAGCAAAATTCTTAGATTTTTTCTTAAAAAATATTAGTCATAAAATTGTATATTAACATTATTTTTAATTGTTCATGGACTAAACCTAACAAAAATAAGACAAAATAAACTGATCGAAAAAAGTTAAGGATATTGTGAATTCTCTGAGAAAAAAATAGTTTTCAAAAAAATTTGTATAACGTACATTTACTCTCATCTCTTTTAGAAATAAAACACATTTGTTTAAGTGAAAAAATATTTTAATTAGAATTTACAGGCAACTTTTCTCTTACAATGTAACAAAACAGATAATTATCAAAAAGAAAAAAATGATTATTAGCGTGTAATTCCACCTCTGTTGGCTATTACTGCTTTAACTCGGCGAGGCATGCTTAAAATTAAACGATCCAAGTCATTTTGATCCAAGGTATACCATAAATATGGAAGAACTTGCCTCAGTGACCTTACGTCCTGAACAGGAGGTTGATGGGCAATTAGTGCCCTTCCGAGCTTGTCCCAGCCATGCTCGATGCAGTTTAAATTTGGAGAGAGCGGGGGTAATGTCAAATGATTAATTTCATGGAATGCTAGCCGTTCTTGTACTACCCTGGCTCTGTGCGGGCGAGCGTTATCATCCAGAAATCTGAAATTGGGCTCCAAATTCCAACGATAATTGCTGCCAATAGAGTTCGTATTACCCCTAGGGCGGTTATAAATCTATTAAATGAAGCAGGTTTACATTGCTATAGGCCTATAAGACGCCCTCCATTGATCGCAGTCCATAGAGCTCAACATTTGCTTTGGTTTAATGAAAGAGCCAACTGGAATGATGAGTGGCGTACTGTAATGTTCAGTGATGAAAGCCGCTTTGGTCTTCGTGCTGACGGAATTACAGTTTGTGTCTGGGGACCAAGAAATTCAAGAGTTAATGACCGGTATGTTCAAGAAGTGCATCCATTTTGAGTTGGAGGTGTAATGGTCTGGGGTGGAATTTTCTACGGAGGTCGGACGGAGTTGTATGTTTGTGAAGGTACCATGACAGGTGAAATTTATGCTCACGACATCATTGATAACATTGTGGATGATTATCGTTGTAATTTGGAGCCCAATTTCAGATTTCTGAATGATAACGCTCGCCCGCACAGAGCCAGGGTAGTACAAGAACGGCTAGTATTCCATGAAATTAATCATTTGCCATTACCCCTGCTCTCTCCAGATTTAAACTGCATCGAACATGGTTGGGACATGCTCGAAAGGGAACCAATTGCCCATCAACCTCCTGTTCAGGACGTGAGGCAAGTTCTTCCATATTTATGGGATACCTTGGATCAAAATGACTTGGATCGTTTAATTTTAAGTATGCCTCGCCGAGTTGAAGCACTAATAGCCAGCAGAGGTGGAATTACACGCTATTAATATTTTTTTTCTTTTTGATAATTATCTGTTTTATTACATTGTAAGAGAAAAGTTGCCTGTAAATTTTAATTAAAATATTTTTTCAGGTAAACAAATGTGTTTTATTTCTAAAAGATATGACAATAAATGTACGTTATACAAATTTTTTTGAAAACTATTTTTTTCTCAGAGAATTCACAATATCCTTAACTTTTTTCGATCAGTTTAGTTAAATCCTATTTGTACAAAATTGATATTTTTTCGGTAAAATCACGAAAATATGTTTATTTTCAATGTAAATAGATCCTGGTTAAAGTAGAAATATCAGGGAACACGATAATAAAAAATATATCAAAATGCATTTAAAATATGTGCATTTAACCATTAAAAAGTTATTATTTTTTTAATTTATTACTATTTAACAAAATCACTGATCATCGATAAGAAATCATTGCCTTATTGTGGAGGGATTGTTATGGTTAGTAGTACAGTAGTAGAACGATAGCTTTGTTCCAACAAGAGTTAAAAATTCAGTACCAATCAGATTGAAAAACATTTTATATCTAAGGCTTTCGCGGTCATTTTATTTAGAAGTAAAAAGGTTTCCGGGTTTTAGTTTTCTGAAGAAGACAGCAACATGGCTGTCGAAACCATAGACAAGGGATATGTTGGGCGGGCGGGGGTCGAAACGTCAAACAAAATTACTGAGACTTGGTCTCCTTAAGAAACAGTTTGTAAATCGTACACAGACCGACAAAAAACAAGAAAAAAAAGCAGACTATACCTTTATGAAGGTTTTTGACGTGCTGGTTGTCGAAAAATTCTATTTTCTTCTATATTTAAGGTTATTTTACCTTATAAGGTATTTTTTATTCAAAAGAAACCGTTAGTTATTTTGGCACATTAATAGGTATTCAAAAATTGATTAGCAATAGGGAAAAATTTGATTCATCCTTTTGATCATAAAAAACGATTTTTCTAAAAAGAGAAAAAAAGTTCAAAAGGGAGCGTGGCAGTACCTATAGTAACAGTTACTATAGTTACTTATATATAAGTAACTATAGTAACTGTTATTATAACAGTTACTATAGTAACTTATAGGTACTGCCACGCTTCCTTTTTAACTTTTTTTCTCTTACTATAATTGTACGGTATTATTTTTAAATGAAATTATTATTTTAGGATGTAACATAATATAAGGTCGGATTCAGCGCATCTAAAACCATCGGATTGCATTAGATAAAGCATTATGCATATTATGTATTAAAAATACAAATACAATATTATTGTATTTGATTAACCTTCAACTTTTGTAGGAACCAAGCCAATAAAATAAAATACATAATTCATTTTTTTAAAGAGACAAATGTTTTTGTATTAACATATATATATCACATCATATTATAATAATAACGATAATGATAATTATCGTTCCCTAATTAAGAAATTCCCGGTTTATTTACAAAATAAGGTTTAGGTAATTGCACAAAATAGTGCAAGAAAATAAAACAAGAACCTTATTAGATGTTAAGACCAATAATTATTATTCCAAAATGCAGGCACTAATTTTCTTGACATATTATTATTTACAGCAGGCCAAATTCTTACCTACGTGACGTAGGCTACGTCCATCACGAAAAATTTTAGTTATTAAAAAATGTCCACTTTTCCAATGAAGAAAATGATATCTTTTGAGCGCAAATAAAATAAAAACGGATGGTCTGCATCAAATGATATATTAGGTGAATCAGAACCAACGCGGTTTGCTATTACGCCTATAAAAAATATAAGTATTCATTAAAACAGTCCAAATAAAATTTTATTGATTAATTAATTTAACTTTTTTAATTTTGCCCCGAAAAAAAAATAAAAAAATTAAATTTAAAAAGTATTTTAATACAAAAAGTACTATCTAAAATAACTTAAAAAGTAATCGTCAAAAAAACGTTTTATGCTTAAAATGATATTCAAAATTTAAAATTTTGACATTTAGTAAATTTCGATATGTTTAATTTAATAAATTCCGATGTATTTTTTGGACGAAATTTAATCACTCTTAAATATTATTATAAACTAAAATTACTTACACAAAAAATAATTAACATGTATAAAATTTATTTACACAAAATTAGTGCGGTAAATTTTTATAAATTTTTATTAGATGTGAAGACAAACAGAAATATAATTTTTTATTGGCATATGTGCAGTAAGCCGAAGTCTTACCTATAGGTCATGAATATATAATTAAAAATTGTCCACTTTTCCAATAAACAGAATAACATCATTTGAGCGCAAATAAAATAAAAACGGATGGTTCGCATCGAAAAATTTGTTGGGTGGAACAGACCCAATACGAATTAAAACTAATCCTATAACAAAAATTAAGACATTGATGTTATATACAAGCAATATAGAATACTTATTAAATTATTTATTAATTTAATTTTAATTAGAATTTAAAATTTTGCCAACATACAATGTTGCTTTTTGAAATTTAATGTAAATTAAATATGGGTCCAGTATATTCTTAATTTGATATTGCCTATAAACAATATTTAAAGCGGTAATTTAGTGATCCTTTGTTTAAAAAACATACTCCAAATTTCATTCTTTAATTTTGATACAGATTTTACCTAGTCATGCTATAAGTTCTATCTCTAGTTAAATAAAACATGTACCTTTTAAAATTTTATTTTTAGCGTTGAATATGAATCGAAATCGACTTATAATAGAATAAATAATAATAAATAGGAGTTTTTTTGAAAAGAGGATATGGATGTGAAAATTTGAAATGTAATAAATACAAGAAAAGTATTGGAAAGGAATGGAAATTATTAATATAATAAATATAAAAAATGTTAAGTTAAAGATTAGCAAGTATTAGCTAAACTTTAAACATTTATATATTAATGCCTATTTGGTTTGCTTATTGGAAAATATATAAATGTATTAAAGAAATAAATAATTAAATAAATAAATAAATTATTATTAATAAGAGGTCTTTATTTTTAATTTAGTAAATATATGACATGAAAATATAGGGTGCACTAAGTATCTTTCTATGTGTATACTTCTACGGGTATTTTTTTTATTTGAAGAGCTACAAGGTCGGTTAGTTAGAGAAAAGTAATTACAATTGTAAGCCTATTAACATGAAATTTATGAATTGGAAAAAAGCCAGCGGTTCTCAAAATATTTGAAAAAAACTAAAAACTTTTAAAACCAAAAATCGTTTTAACTTTGATATTCCTGGGAATTTTAAAACTAAGTAAGTTTTACATTAATCTACATACATTTTCATCCAATTTCTTTGCTACTATGTTTTAAGTTACCTTCATTATCTTTTATTTTTATAATGACCGACATAACTTATGTATAGTCGTCGCGGCAAATGTTTCAAATTGCGTCATCAATGTCGAATGTCAAAAACCGATTTCTCGACATACGGTTAACCTAGCCTCCTTGGATTATATACGTAAAAGGAAACAACAATAATTGTAATGTCTGTGCTTGGTTCAGAATTTGATGACGCAATTTGAAACATTCGCCACGACAACTATAGTTTAATACCTAGGTGGATATTCTAACCATGTAAAATTTCAATATGGCAGCTAGGAAAAACAAAAGATCGGGGTATCTTAAAATAAATGTGTAAGACTTTCTTTTTTAAAATTTTTTTACAGGTTTACAGTTTTTTCAAATAATACCGCTGAGTTTTTTTCCACTTTTTAAACGACATTTTAATAGACTTGTAATTACTCAACTCAAAGAGGGATACTTGGTGCACCCTGTATACAAGTATGGACTGCATTAGTAAAAAAAATGACGAAGAACAATGTAATTATAATTCAACAATTATAATACAACAATGTAATTATAATACATGGCATACTTATAGTATCAGAAATTCCTTAATTTCCTATATAAGAATAAAAGAGAGGCGAATGTATTGTAATTGCTTATTGGCTATAGGAAAATACGCAATTTTTGACATTGTATACTATTAGCCATATCGTGGCTTTTCCTAACATAGAGACAAAACTTATAGCACAAGAAACTAGGATGATTTATTGAAAAAATATAAAAAACTAACCTGCTGTGGCAGAAGCAGCTTCGGTTCCAGTTTCAGTTACGTTAATAAAAGTTTTTTGGATAATATCACTTATGTATAGATCTCCCTTCTTGCCTCCAATTCCGCTAAAATCGGCTTCACCTCCAGTAAATGCTTTTTTTATCCCCATCTAAAAATAAAAAATATGATAATATAATATTGCGTATACTTCCTATTATACAAGGTGTCCCCAAACTTAGTGGCATAAATTTAACTTCCACTATGGTAGACTTAAAAAAGTGATATTTTGCGAACAGTCACTTACTACCAAAACACATATTCACACATAATTACAATTGTTCGAGTGAACGCAGTGTCGTAGAAACAGGGGTTGCCTAAGCTCATTGTCCCATACAAACTTTGAGGTTTTTATACCATTTGATGCAATTTTTCAATTACTCAGTTCGGCTACTAATGAAAAGGTGTACCTCTCAAACTTTGATAAAATAAACCTTTTCCGAGATATTCGAGATTACAATAATTGTTATATCGCATTAAAGGACTAAAAGGTATATGATAAAAAATTTTTTAATTGAAAAAACTACATTTTTTTTAATGTGACGGTCAGGGCAAAAAGTTCCGAGGCTCATGGAATGCCCTTTTTAGTTTTTTCAATTAAAAAATTAAAATTTGTTATCATATACCTTTTAATCCTTTTAAATAATGAGATATAACAATTATTGTAATCTCGAATATCTCGGAAACGGTTTATTTTATCGAAGTTTGAGAGGTACACCTTTTTAATGGTAGCCGAACTGTGTAATCGAAAAAATTGCATCAAATGTTATAAAAACCTAACCACAAAGTTTGTATGGGACAATAAGCTTAAGCAACCCCTGTTTCTACGACACTGCGTTCTCTCGAACAATTGTAATTATTTGTGAATATGTGTTTTGGTAGCAAGTAAGCAAAATATCACCTTTCCAAGACTACCATAGTAGAAGTTATATTAAAAAAACTGATATGATAGGTAAAACTTTATCACCCTGTATCTTGGAAACATAAGTAATTAGAAAAAATATTTATTTAGGTTTTCGTCTTATTTTGACTTGCTCAATCTTTTCCTATATTTATGCCAATAAGTTATGGGACACCTTGTATAATACAATAACTCCTATTTTTATTTATTAAAATTTACCACATACCAAATAGATATCTAGAAAATAGCGATTAGAGAAAAAATCAAAATAATACATTTTATCTAACTCCACAGCAAACAGAAAATTATAGAGGTGTATAGGATGACGCCACGTTTGAATATGGTTTTCTAAATCTCCCTACGGTATAGAGTTGTATTCGTCAGTCGAGCGTTTCAATACTCTCCACAGTATAGAGGTCGTAATTTCACTTTTGAACTAGTATTAATATAAAAATTATTTTATGCTTAAAAAAAACTATATACGACATGATTGTGATTTTTTTTCATTTTATTAATTAATTAAGCTGTGTTGAATATTTTTCCTAAAGGAACAATTGCCAATGGGCCATTAATTCATTTGTTCGTAGATGCTACAATAACCTGCACTGGTGTGTACTTTTTCATCAACCAGATTTAAATATTACAAAACTAACATATACCAGTGGAGATAGTGCAGGGTCTACCAACAGACCTAATTACTAAATTATTAAAGTTTAATAGCATATCGATCATTTTTTCAAAATAACCTCTGAAATTTTTAATACAAATATAGGTACTTTATATAATACATAAATATACTTTATGCACGATGACATTATAATATGACAATTATAACAAAAATTCTTTGACGTAAACGTCTTTTTATAGCCCGCGGGCGTTATTATGACCCAGCGGGCTATAATGAAACGTCAAAAATTAAAAACAACAATGTTACACCATTTGATATATTCGAAGTAAGTTTTTTCGTATAAAGATTTTGATTTTTCCGGCAGCAGGCCGAAATTTTTCGCTTTTTCAGCTGCTTCCTCAATTTCATTCATCCTTAAACTTTAAAACTGACTGATGTCAGTTGACATTATAATATGACAATTATAACAAAAATTCTTTGACGTAAACGTCTTTAAAAATAAAAATATATTAAAAATAATAATATATTAATCGTGCATAAAGTTTTGTATGCATTGCTGGCATAACTGGTTTTTATGGTCCTACGACGCTTATCTAGCCCTCGCGCTAACGCGCTCGGGCTCGAAATAGCGCCTCGGACCATAAAAACCTTATTATGCCCTTAATACATAAATAACTATAACATCATATCATCTGTGCTTTACATACCTGAGTTGTTACGGTAAATAAAAATCAGACAAAGGAACCAAAGAAAGGAACTATTTTCAATAAAATCATATGCAGAAAGGAGAAAATTCAAACTACTTGCATCCATCAAAAGATCAAAACTTCTTGCAATATTACACCCTCTTTTTATACTCTCAGAAATATTGACTAGAACAGTATTAGAGAGACTCCAGTTTCTATAACTTGGTAGAGAAGTCGAAACCGTTGCGATATTGCATTGCGCTGTTTTTGTATAATTCTCGGGGACATTAACGAAAATCATTGCCAGTAAAATTCGAAAAGCTTGAGTTTCTATGTCTCTGAGGAGAATAGGAATCCGAAGTTGCTGCACCATTGGACTGAACCCTTTTTTAATAATTTCTAGAGACATAAATGACTGCATCATTCGACAGGGTCGAGTTTCTACCTCTCTGTTGAATATAGAAAATCAAAATAATGTATCTTGTAAGACACCATTGAGTTTGACTTTAAATATAGTCGTGCATAGGTATAGAGCCGAAAAATATAAAAACAAAGCACGATTCAATACAGTTATGATAAAACTTTAAGATTTGATATTCAAACGCGGAGTCATCCTATACACTTCTATAATTTTCCGTTTGCTGTGTTATATTGTATGCAATTTAAACATAATTTAAATCTTGTTAAATTTAATTTTTAAACAAAAGATTGAAGTACACACAACTTCAGCGCAATTTTTTGAACTAAAATGTATTGAAATTCAACACAATCACTTAAATTAATGAACAAAGTATTTTTAAAACAAAATACACGACATGACATAAAAAATGCATTTCAGATAGGCATAAAATCGTCTTGAATTGATTGTATACTTACATTTTTTAGAATGGGGACAAATTTAACTTGAGACTCGACGGAGAATTTGGGTATGGCCACAGCCACCCTCTCAGGTTTGTAAGGTTGCGGTTTCAAAACTTCCTCGAGTTTTTGTTCAACATCAGCAAGCTGAATATTTTTGTCTGGCAGAACAATCGTCATCGTGGCATCACCTCCAGCATAAGGCATTTCCAAAAACGTGGCTTGCAAATCTTTGTTCTCGTAATAGTTGAAGTATTCGCTGGTGTGCATGGTTTCAACTACCACGGAGTCGTTGGTGGATAAAAAGAATTTTTTTGGAAGCGTGTCGATGGTATCAAAGGGATTTAGCCATTTTCCCAGGAAATACAAAGTGTTTATTAAAACCACCTTTACGTCATTGGTTAGGGATGTCTCTTCCACTATTTTGTTTATTTTATGGTTGGTTTTTTCGTCAACCCATTTATTAATAGCACTTGCAGCTTTAGCACCTTCCGCAAAATTTATATTTTCCACTTCACTCATATATGTACTTTTCGCGAGCAACTTATAATTATCTTTAAGTGGATAATTTTTGTTTACGTACATTTTATTTGTCGATTGAAGCTCCAACTCGCCATTTGTTGCTAGGTTCAGTTGTGGCAGTAAGGATTTTATGGCCGACGAGGTTTTTTCTTTGGTGCTAGGAAATTTCAGACCTCTAATCAATTCTTCACTGGTCTCACCATTGGATCCCTCTAGAGCCAGTGCTAGGACTGTTTCTGCCGAAAGAGGGCTTACCAAAAAGTTTCCGGAGCTTAATTTTAATACTTCCTAAAACGGTTTTTTAATATTAACATTTTAATAAAGATATTAACAAAAAAAATACCTTGTAAACGTCTGCTGTAAATTTTCTATTTCCTAAAACGAACTCGTCTAATGCTTCTTTTGTGGCATATACTGTCGAAATTAATATAGCTAACACAAATATTTGTTTCATTATAAAATCTACAAAATTTTAGAATTATGTAAAAAAGCGGTAACTGGTAAATACTAACTAAAATATATTATATATAGTATACTGGCAGGGCCGGGCCTAAGGGGGGTGTAGGGGGGGAGTCTTGGCAGTTGGTTCCAAATCCAAACAAGGTTGGCAAAATCTTTAGTATTTGGGTCGGTTGGTTGGGTACCAACCAACCCATCACAATAAATAAAATTAAATATAATTTTTAAACTATACCTACATATTACAAAATCATAATTTTTAATCTATTTAATAACCTCCTATAATCGTTACCGTCAAGAAAATTGTATTGGTCAACCCTATTTTTATTAAAGGACATTATATTTCACACAAGCGGCATGTACAAAGTCGGCACCGCCTCGCGTCTTTGTCTTTGGCTTTGGCGGCGTTTGACTCTTTTTACGCACCGCAATTTTCGGCGTCTTATTTTTCTAGATTATTATTTAGTTGAAGCTTATCTAAGCTAAGTAAAACTAGTGTCAATAAATAGGAATTTTTTTTTATGTGGAAAAGAAAGCTAGACCGGGCCGAGTTCTAGTAAAATGCTCATTATGTGCATCTGTGTTTAACTAGAAAAAAATGCATGAGAAAAATATTCACGGTGGAAATTTGGTTAAAATTAAAATTGTTGCTGTTCCGGATAATCCATTTAAATTGGCAGCAAGTCAAAAAAATAGAGAACGAGAATCAATCCCATCGACTTCGAAAGAGCATGCTTATGGTAGGTAAAGACATTCTTTATCTACACTTTACAGCACTTTACATTCATGATAAAACTACTGAAATTTTTTACTATTACTAGGTACTAAAGTATCGATAAAAAAATAAGTTGGTTTTTTTATCGTCTCCACCCCCCCAAAAAAGTGTGCCTCGGTACGGCCCTGTATACTGGGTGCTCCAGAAGTCGCGCTCCACCCAGAAAATTGTTTAAAAAAGATACAAGGGATACATATTTTTTTAAATGGCAACTTCGCGTACCAATAAATTGGTAGATTTATTCTTAATCATCATCAAGTATCAAATTCGTTACTTTTACTTAAAGGTTATTTATTTTAGGTCAGACTTGACAAAATCAAAGAGTCTGTCAGGAACTAACAAAACCATAGATTAATTCTATAAAGAAACTAAACATACATAACATTAAATTGACACACACAGGATAATGACTTGCATAATTTAAGCATTCTCCAAAATCAACATACGTACGCAAGGCTGGGAATCGATTACAAACTCGATTACAAATAATCCAAGTATTCGAATAGAGGTGGAAATCGATTATAAATAATTCGAATATATAGTTGGTTAAATTAGAAAAAAGTGGCGCATTCCTACTTCGATTAATGATCAAAAAGAAATTAGACTTTAGTTTTCGAGATATCGCAAAAACGATATTTTGTAATTTTTAATTCTAATTCAGATATTATATAGTCAACTTAACAATGCTTAAAAAACGGATACCCTAAATATGCTATATAGCATAATAATAAAAAATTTATTAAACCACTAGACCTCGCAACATTACTCGTCAGCGCCAGTGAAATACCCGGTCAACATTTAACGTAACCCGTGTTATTGCCGTTATGTAACATAGGAGTCACATTGCAATGTAACGATGTTACTAAAATGCAACGCAACAGTTACCTAAAATAATGTTAACTTTGTTACCGGTCCAAGTTAACCAATATGCAATAAAACAATAACGTAACATTGTGAAACTATTGTAATGTAACAAAATTACCAATAAGCAATATAACAGCAACGTAACATTGTAAAACTATTGTAATATAACAAAATTACCAATAAGCAATATAACAGCAATGCAACATTGCAATACTATTGTAATAAGTTGGTTACGTAACAGTTACATTTATGTTACGTAACAAACTTATACTTATACGAGCCCTAACCACATAATGTTCGGACACTTCATAATTTATACAGAAATTTTTTTCGTGAATACTATCTCAAAATTATTAGAAGTTATGAAAAATTCAGCTTATTTTGGCATATACCCCTCGAAGCGATTTTTATTTTTAAAAAGTTTACCTTTTATTTTTAGCTTTTAAAAAAAGGCTAACTTTTTAACTTTTTTTTGTATGAGTAAAAAAAGTTATAAATGGACCCATTAAAAAGAGCATAAAATATTATACAAACCCTGAAAATTTGGTAAAAAATAAATAAGTTATAAAAAAGTATAAGTAATTTAAAAATGCTATTTTTAAAGAGTTTTTGCAATTTTCTTAGGAAACGGGAGATTTTGCAGATATATATATCGCTATAACTTTCTTATTATTTATACAATTTTTACCAAATTTTCAGGGTTTGTATAATATTTTATGTTCTTTTTAATGGGCCCATTTATAACTTTTTTTACTCATGCAAAAAAAAGTTAAAAAGTTAGCCTTTTTTTAAAAGCTAAAAATAAAAGGTAAACTTTTTAAAAATAAAAATCGCTTCGAGGGGTATATGCCAAAATAAGCTGAATTTTTCATAACTTCTAATAATTTTGAGATAGTATTCACGAAAAAAATTTCTGTATAAATTATGAAGTGTCCGAACATTATGTGGTTAGGGCTCGTACACATAATTTACATTTCGCTCGTGTTAACACCTCTATTAGGTATATAAACGAAGACAGCGCACCATGTCCATTTGTCATTGGACCTCAAACAGTATGCCTGATTATGGGAATGTCAGAATACGATATTATGTATCATAACGCTTTAGCGTTCAACTGACGGGACATTCTCCAGTCGAGCATAATAACGTTGCAACGTAACAACCGTAAAGGCCATGTTATGTAACATAACTTAGATTGCGAAAATGTAACGGCAACGTAACATTGTTATAACATATACCTATTTGCAACCATCAGGTTATGTAACTGTGATGTTAAATATTACGATTGTTGCATACTATTTTGGTTAATGTTACGTTACAGTTATGTTTCACTTTCATAACGGCAATGTAACATTGTTATGTAGCAATGTTACTTCAATGAGTGGGAAATAGGAACATATTTGCAACCGTCAGGTTATGTAACTGTAATGTTACACATCACAATCGTAACATAACATTTTGGTTAATTTTACGTTACAGCTATGTTTCATTTTCATAACGGCAATTGTTGTGATGTGTAACATTACAGTTACATAACCCGATGGTTGCAAATACGTTCCTATTTCCCACTCATAGGAGTAACATTGTTACATAACATTTTGGTTAATGTTACGTCACATTGTTGACCGGGTAAGGAAGAGGAATTTATTTATTTTTTAAATATAAGAAACGTATTGTTCTAATAATATGTAGTTTTTATATTTGATTATTTGTATATCCAAATATTTGAAAATTCATATCTTTTTAAATAAAGTATATTTTTTTTTAACAATTTTCTGGGTTTCCTGATGGTCTCTATATCATCCACCTTCAAGGTGGTGGGCTACTTTTGGGACACCATGTATATACTTGAAGTATCGGGTTTAAACATATTTAAAATTAAGCAACTGTAAACTGGACAGACGAGAAGAAAGGTCAATAACGCCACAAAACTTTATTTATCTGTAAAATTTAAAAATTAAATAATTTGTTTACTTATATTTCTAAACAAGAAGTAAAATAATCATGGGAATTTTTTAACCAATTAAGAAAAATAAAAAAATATTTTGTTTTAATTATTATTAATCATTCCAGTATTATAATATTTAACAATACTTAAATGGGAAAAACATTAATTTATACAAAAATACGATAAATTTGTGTTTAAAGCATAATGTATTTATACACTTACAGGCAAAAAAACCGGCCACCAAAAATTGTCCAAAATTTTAATCTTGATTTCCTCGCGAACCGCTCACCTGATTTTGATTATTTTTTTTAATTGTAGGTTGACTCTTCAGTTACGATGCTATGGTAAACCATTTTATTCAGATTTTAATTTGAGCATATATGCTCAAATTAAAATCTGAATAAAATGGTTATACACTGTATTTGAGCCACAAAACTAGAAGTTTTGTGATTTGAGCATATACAAATTCAAAATAACTGACATTTTTGTCAGAGTATATTGACTTTACACTTATATCTTTTTAAGTACCTACATAAGAAGACTTTATCTGGTTAATTTGCTTTAAAACAATGTATCTTCGTCAATAAAAAAGGTAATAACGCGAATAAAGGAAATGTTCAGAAAAGAAAAAATTCAATTGACATCCGATGTTTCTACTACATTCCTCAGGGTTTCACAAATTTCGGGAAAAAACTACTTACTTTTGCACCCTGTATATGCTAACATAAAAATCAAAGCATCGTTACGAAAGAGTTAACCTACATTTAAAAAAATAATCATAAAAATCGGATGAGTGGTTCGCGAGAAAATCAACATTAAAATTTTTGCCAATTTCTGGTGGACGGTTTTTTTGCGACTGAGTGTATTTATTCCATACAGAATCATCATGATGATTGAAGCATTTTATTTAAAAAGGCCGAATTAAAAATATTTATTTAAAAAATATGTTCGGTCAAGCAGTTTGTATACATTTGTTGATTCATTGAGTTGACCTCACATGTGATCTCTGATTTTCACTTTTAAGACGAGAAAAATATTGTAAAAAGAAAAGAGACAGTGAGACCACCACATAAAAGCTATTGGTGATTTTTTATATAAATTTAACTTCCTACTCCTTAAATCATATTGATATTTACAATATTAATAAAAACAGCAAAATCAAAGTTTTTGAGCCCTCTCCCTAATTTTATAATAATGCTATGCATAAAAGTTAAACAAGAATGTTAGAAATAAATTTTAAGAAATGTAACAATTTGTTGAATATTTAAAAAATATATTCTTACACATTTCACAGTAGAAATCCAACAGTAAATTGTTTATAATAAATAAAACAATCAATACTAACCTTGATGAAAACGTGTTTTCACTCTTCACAGTATCAAAGCCACAGATCAAACAAAACATACAAAATACATAGATTAGATGGAGTAAATCGACTATTCATGCGCCTGCAAATTTTTTTGAAAGATTCTTCATATATTCCAGAACACCGTTTATTTTTGCAGCGCTTTGACTTAATTAGTACTGGAAAAGCCAGCCATGAATAAGATTGTTTTGAACTTTGTCACTGTTTATACTCGCTTACCCATGCGAGTGTTAATGTATGCGCGATGTATTCATTCATATACAATAAAAAACAGAAACTTTAAACTTGCTTGACCACAAATTTAACGTCAGTATGTAATATACAGAATGTCTCAAAAATCATATAAAATTAAAATTTTGTATAATTTATTTTAAAACAACAAACAGTGCAATAACAAACTTATAACAAAACAAAAACACACATTTATACAACTTATATTTAAAATGAATTTATTTTAACCTTAAGCGCGTGTGAGGTCTATGATACCACGACTATATGTTTTCTACGATATATACTATTTGTAGTATTTTTCTCAAATATAAATAACCCTGTATAAAATATTTGAAGAATTGAATCCGTATATTTAGGATTTACTTAAACTAACTGTAGGTATTTCCAGTACTTAATTGCAATATAAGGCTTCATATGCCGATTAATGTTTAATTTATATTAGTCCCTTGTGGAAATTTTTCTCTGAAAAAGTTTTAATAAGTAAAAATAAGAGTTTTTAAAGTCTTACTTTCTCTTAAAAAGTCTAAATAATACTTATTAAGTCGGAAAAAGTCATAATAAGACTTATTAAGCCGGAAAAAGTCTGAATAAGTCAGACTAATAGCAAGATTTGTCTTCTAGAAGAGTTAAGACTTTTAGCAGAGAAATGGTAGGAACCTAACTATAGGGATTAAAATTAATATCCGGAATTATTCAGAGAGGTTGTATTTGATTATTAAAAAATAAAATACAAAGAAAAGTATTTATTAACATTTTGCTAGGGTGGTAATAAGCCAAGCTTATTGTATAATTACCTATGTATACAGGTTGTCCCAGAACTCGCGCCACAGAGAAAAAGGGGGGGTGCCGATAGCAATATTGCCATGGAGATGCCTATGGAGATGCCAAATTTAAAAATAAAAAATTTCTAGGTAATAGTGTAATCGAATGAGAGCAAAAAAGCGGCAGCCAATACCGAGAGCTCTCGCCTAGGTTAAACGTAAGAGCTTTAAAAATTGCTAGGAGACGATACAACATTGTTGTATTAAAAACATTTAAAAATATTTTGGCCAACTGTATTTACTAAGTTGTCAAAAGCTTTCAAAAATGAGGTTATTAATCTATGACTTATACTTCAGAACGCCAATGTTTTAAAATAACGATTAGGAAAGGGCTGGGAAAAAACTCGCGTTGTCTCCCTGGCGTTGCGCCCACACTAAATAAATAAATAATTATCATTTCAGTATAATCATCTAAGGAAAACATTATTTATACTAACTTAATTTATAACCTAATATAATATTAATGACAGGAGTTTGACAGCAGTGTCACAATGAATTGGATTCCAGTGGACCAAATATTTTACATATTTTTTATTATCAACAATGCAACCTAAGTATCCTAGCAATTAAAAGAATTCCCTATGGCCATCTATTGGGATTGGCTATCGTTTTTTATTCTTATCTCGCTTATCCTTTGCGTTAGACAATTTTAATTTTCAAATATGTGTTTCACGTTACTTTCGGCACGTTCCGGTTTTCTATGTGGCGCGAGTTCTGGGACACCCTGTATAATAACATATGTGAGGTTTAATTATTATAACAATTATAATTTTTTACATACGATGCGCTTAACTTCCTTTTATTGTTGCACTGTACGTTTTATTTTAATACTTTCTTTTTATAAGCAAATATTTATCCCACCCACAACCCACACAACAAGGTCTGTTCTTTAGCAGTTCGCACAGACTGAAGAAAATCACCAAATACTTGCCGCCATATTGTTCCAAACACTTTTTGACACAATATTTTCTCAGCTGACCAATTAGAGCACAGCTGATCTGTCATGTGATGGCATCTTCCCGCGTTTTAAAGATAGCTCTCCTGTCACTACTTACCAAGTGTTGCCGTTTGCGGGTATTTTACTCGGAAATCGGGTATTTTCGTCATGTTTTGCAGGTAGAATTTTGAAGCGGGTTAAATCCGATATTTTGCAAATTTCGATCAAAATACCAACTGAAGAAATTTTCAGTAAATAATATTGTTTGTTTACTAAAAATGCATAATTATTTTATTCTATTTAGGATATCCTGTTACATTTTTTATTTACTTATAAAAAAAATTTAAATTAATTTAATTAATTTTTTAACACAGGGCGAATGCGCTAGTAAATTTAAAATATAACTAGTTTTTTTAGTATTTTATAATTTTTGGTGGGGAACTTTTATGACATTCATCCGGCAACACTGTATAAAGTACATGAAGCAATGAAAGATCAACCATATTTGTTTTATAATCTGTGTATGAGTTCGACTGTCGACCATATCACGCCTATAGGCATATATGCGTTGCGAAGAATTGTTATAGTTATTATACCTTACGTACTTCGCAACAAGGGATCTGTATGTTTTATTCTGTTCAATTAAAATAAAGTTTGTTTACCTATATTGTAAACGTTGCTTCCGTGTTTTTATAGGCATTATAACAACACAAAAACAGTATTTATAAATACTTTTTATTGTGCTTTATTTTTCAATAACCAAATTATTTGGTCCAAACATCTCTGAATAATTAAATTAAATTAAAAAGTCTTATTAACTCTTCCAGAAGACTCCCAAATCTTGCTATTAGTCTGACTTATTCAGACTTTCCGACTTAATAAGTCTTATTCAGACTTTTTAAAAGAAAGTAAGACTTTAAAACTCTTATTAAAACTTTCTCAGAAGAAAATTTCCACAAGGGGTATTATAATCAACTTCGTATATACTTGTAAATTACACTGTGTGACTACAAAAACTTATAGGTCTTATGGTATCACGATCCTAAGATCCTTGACTTTTACTAACATTTTATTCATAGCGGACTCTGAGACCTTAGGTTAGCGATAGCGTACCAGATATACTATTTGTACTATTTTTCTCCAATAATAGTAGTTTCCGTATAAACCCTAATAACAACATATTTTAAGAATTGAATCACCATATTTAAGATTTACTTAAAATAACTGTATTTATTTCCAGTACTTAACTACAATATGCCATTTTAGTATTTAATTTATATTAGTCTTATAAGCAATTTCGTATATACTTGTAAATTATAAGGTCTATAATACCACAGATATATTTTATCTACGATACTTAATTGTACTGACATTCATAGCATGCAGTCTCTGAGGCAGATTATAATGCTATAGCATAGCGTACCAGTTAGTTCTCAAATAATAATAGTTTCCGTATGTTTTCCTAGAAATAAGATTTTGAATCCGCATATTTAGAATAACCGTAGGTATTCCCAGTACTTAATTGCAGTAAGAGGCCTTGGCCCATTCCTATTTATTGTTTAATTTATATTGGTCTCATAAGCAATTTCGTAAAAAATCGTAAATTACACTGTATGAGTCTAAAAACCTATAGGATATATTTATCCGATTTTTTAAATTATAAAATAATTTTGAAAAACACAAACGTAATAAAATATTTATTTTGGAATTTTGCTCATTTTTCTTTTTTTACCACCTTGGTTTCCACAAAAAAATTATGCATTCTTTGTCAAACTGAAGTTTTGTTAAACACATTTTAGTGGCTTCTACATACCTTGGCTAAAATTTTTTTGCAGAATATTTATAGAAACCTGTTTCTTTATGATTAATGATAGGTATAAAATAAATTGTTTTAGTTTTCGTTATTTCACAAATAAAAAGGTTGTGGTATCCTAAACCGCACATTAGCAGTTGGAGGTTAAATAGTTACTTATGAAAAAATGAATCAACTAATTTACATAGAGTTTTTTCACAGAATTTTAAATATGATATATTACTACATATAGGTATTTTTAATTTGTATGTATACACTTGAGAGTGGGGGAATAATTCACACGGTGACGACAGATATTCAGTCGCCCAATTACTGGCGTTGGGTAATAGTTGAACTTCGCTATGCATTTTTAAAACGCATTGCGTTTTTATATAGTTACCCTGCTTTTAGAAATGATTCAGATACTTAAAATGTGTAAAATTTTAATTGAATATTCGAACTATTTTAATATTTGAACTATTGTAACAGTTCAACAGTTTCATTGTTTCAAAAAAATCAAATTATTATGAAAAGTTTAAATAATTCGAAACTTTAACTTAAGTTAAACTATTCCCTTGATTATAAATTTGTAACAAAAATTGTTTCATCAAATAATTAATTATTTAATTTTTAAACATTTTAATAATCATTCCAACTATTCGAATAGTTTGAATATTTGATTTGTGGAAGTACCTACACCAGGTATGTAGTCGCCGCTGAAAAATATCCCCACTGTATTTTTTAGCGTGAAAATACTTAATAGTATTAAGTTAATACATGACTATTTTTAATATGCCAACAAAATTGAATGGCTACATAAATATCTTTATAAATACTAGAAATTAACACTTTTATAAAACAACCTGTTTGAAAAACATTTGGTAAGTATTTGTTACTATATAGATATACAAGGTGGCGCAAAAGTCATCACCCTATTGGAAGATGCTATAATTTTTGCAAATGGCAGCAAATATCAATTCTGTTTTGACATTTGTGAAGTCAACACATACAAAATACACGTCAACTAGACATGGATCGCTATACTCCTCAAGAACGCGATTTTTTTGCGGACCACGACGAAGACAATTTTTCATCCAAAATCATCATGAGCGACGTGGCCCATTTCCATATCTGTGGATATGTTAATAAACAAAATTATCGCTTCTGGGGCACCGAAAATCCGCGTATAACCCACGAAGAGCCATTGCACCCGCTCAAAGTTACTGCATGGTGTGCTGTTTACGCTGGAGGCGTCATCGGGCCTTATTTTTTTGAAAAGCCGCAAGCCAAGCGACTACTGTGGACGGTGAGCGCTACAGAGCCATGCTAAACGACTTTCTCCTTCCTCAATTGGATGAATTCGGACTGGAGAACATGTGGTTTCAACAGGATGGAGCAACGGCGCATACTGCCCGAGCCACAACCGAAATTCTGCAGGCTGCATTTCCGGGTAGCCTAATCTCTCGTTTTGGCAATTTCCACTGGCCGGCCAGTTCGCCCGATTTAACCGTTCCAGACTTCTTTTTATGGGGTTTTTTAAAGTCACGAGTCTATGTAAACAAGCCTCAGACTCTTGAAGCCCTCAAAGATAATATTCGTCAAGAATGCGTGAACCTATCGCCGGAAGTTCTGGCAAGAGTGATGGAAAATGCCATAAATCGGGCCCGTATGGTCATCAATTCTGGCGGCGGCCACTTGACCGATATAATTTTCTCGACCTAATGAAAAAAAATTTAAGACATCAAATAAACATAATCCAAAAGCAGATCCAAAGTTTTTCATTCATAAAAAAAATTACAGCCAAAGAACATCGGGTGACAACTTTTGCGCCACCTTGTAGTAACAAATATATCTACAAATGCGAAACAATTTTAATAAATTGGTAGATTTTGACTAGTTAAATTATTTTAAATTTTCAATGTATATTTTTGTACTATAACTACTAACATAATTGAAAAATAAAAAACGGCAGTTCTTGCTAGTGATATAAAATTATTGCTAAAAACAATTATAATTTTAATAATTGACTTACTTACTTATTACCTAATTGAACACTTAATTGAGCAATTTAAGGCCATTTTTTTGTTTATATAACTAAATTTTGCTAAGGAGTTCATGGATTAACACAAAACGCCCAATTCTGGAAGTTGGAAAACTCGTATGAAATATTTGATGGGTTAATTTGTACCTAAAAAAAATATTAAAACATATCCTCTTAAAAGTTTGTTGAAATAAAATACCTGCTTAAAATATCTGAAACACCAGCTGCCAATGAATCAAACATTATAATATGACTGGGTAATGTTCCGTTTGGTGGATAATGTTGTCTTAGCCAAACATTGGGGTTATTATAAAATGTGTCAGCCTCATCAATATAATGTGTATTGGATTTGTTAAAGTTTGGTTCGCACGTTAAAAATCTACTGGAAACGTTAACGTGCAAATGACTAAAACGTTTTTTATAAATGTTAATTTTGAAATTGCAATTTAGTATACCAAGTCAATAATAGACTGTAAGTTACAGTCTGTAACTATACCCCAAGAACAAGGTGAAAATGGAAATTTTTTTTAATTGAAAAATTAATTTATATTTTATATAAATACCTGTAATATGGTGTAGAATGGCATGGCATTAAAAATAGAAAATGTTTGTTACTGGTATCATTAGAAGCAATTTCTCTTAAGGGATCCATCACATCCAAAGTTCCCCTTTGATGGGCAAAGCTAAAGTACCAGGTTGGTCCCAAATTACCAGTAAATATTATGATTGCAACCGCCCATAAGAGTATTCTAAAACGAATATTAAATAAACCAATATTTTAAAATTCTTATCCACTTACGTATTAGCTTTTCTGCTCCAACTAGATAAAAATCTTGAAGATATATAAAATACAATGGGTAATAATGGCAAGAGAAACCTAAATTCCTTATGTGGCAAACAACTAAAAATAAAACTACTATAAAATATTATACAACAAATAAATTATATAATTTACCTATAAACTATTACAGTAAATACCACAGTTCCCAACAATATTAACTCATTAGGATAAACCTGTCTGTTTTTAAGAACAACTATGGTGGCAATAACAAATGGTATTAAATTAATACCAAAGATTGCTGGTATTCCCGAGGATAAATACCAATGCCATGGATGAGATCCATAAAACTCACCTATGTTATAATAGAAATTATATTTGACAAATTCATAACCAGTTACTAGGAATGAACCATGCATCCAACTATCTAGGAGTGTTGAAATTGTTAACACAAGAAGACTAAAATTAAAATTTTTCTAGTAAATTACTTATAAACAGCACTTCATAGCTTACGCAGTTTAATGTTTAAAACCATTTTTTTAAATTTGGACAATTATTTTAATTGTTTCACAAGAACTCTGTGGTTTCTCTTGAAAAATGTTAAATGCAAAATAACTTAACAAAACCATAAGACCGCAAATTTTAATTATTTAGAGATAATTTATGAGTTTTATTGGATAAAATGAGTAAGTTTGTCTTAAGGCAATATCTGTAGTACCAGAGGGATTTAAACAAAATTTAGTCAAATCCAGTAGGTAATGTGGTTGGTATTATGAAATAAATTATTTAAAAGCTGAATAATAAATCCTTACACGAAAAAAAAAGCCATGCAATTTAATTTAATTTACATGTCAAAACTATACCCAGATAACATTCGTGAATGCACATTAAACTCACACCGGGCGCACGCCATGAATCTTCAAAATTGAATGCATCGTGAATTCACCGTGAGTTCACAGATAACATTTGTAATGCACATTTAATTCACATAGGGCGCACGCCGTGAATCTTTAAAAATGAATTCATCGTGAATTCACTGTGAGTTCCCAGATAATATTCTTAATGCACATATAATTCATGCCGGGCGCACGCCCTGAATCTTTAAAAATAAATGCATTGTGAATCCGCTGTGAGTTTCCAAATTACATTCCTGAATGCACATTAAACTCCTACCGGGCGCACGCCGTGAATCTTCAAAATTGAAGGCATCGTGAATTCACAGTGAGTTCACAGATAACATTTGTAATGCACATTTAATTCACATAGGGCGCACGCCGTGAATCTTTAAAAATTAATTAATCGTGAATCCACTGTGAGTTTCCAAATTACATTCGTAATGCACATTAAATTCACACCGGGCGCACGCCATGAATCTTTAAAATTAAGTGCATCGTGAATTCACCGTGGGTCATCCATTAATTACGTGAGGCAATTTTGGCGATTTTTCGACTCCCCCCTCCCCTTGGAGAGATGTCGTGAGATTTTGCCCGACCCCGTCCCTCTTAATCTCACGTGAGATGTTTTAAAATACATTGTTTTAATGTAAATAAGTTAATCTGTGATTGATTCCATTAGATTTATTTAAAAAAACAGTTGTTATAATTGTTTACTTAATTTAACCCAGTTTTCTCACCATTTTACACTGTTTAATTTTTTTAAAATATTAAACGGAAAATAAAGTACATTTTTTAATTAATACCAGTTATTAATATTTAATATACCTATAGGTAATAATAATTATATATAATAATTGCAAAACCAAATACGCGGGCACTCGTGCGCATGCGCCTATGGCCTTCACATTTCAACTAAATGCAGGGTTGCCGCTTGCAGGTATTTGACCCGAAAATCGCGTATTTCATCATGCTTGCAAGTAAAATATTGAAGCAGGTATTTTATAAATTTTACTTTTCAAAGAAATTTTCAGTAAATAATATTGTACAACTACTAACTAAACATAATTCTTTAATTATATCCTTTTATTTTTTTCTTAATTTATTCAAAATTTAATTCACTTTTCCAATTTGAGCAAATGTACTAGAAATTTTTACTCGTGTGGATAATTTCTAGTATTTTGTAATTTTTGGTCGGGAACTTTCACGAAAATCATCCGGCTGCAATCCGGCAACACTGCAGCGTTAGTGTGCGTACGCAGCTAAGAGCCACGAGGTTTTCTATAGAATACCATATATGGTAAACATCTAGCTAGATATCCTGTATACCGGTAAAACGTTCAGTTCATATCCTTTTTCTATGGTTCAGAGATAAACGTTCAGTTTCAAGGTGTATGTATCTTGGTTCAGTTTTTCAGTTTTATAATATATAGGTATTCAGTTCAATAAATACTTAAGTTGCTAGCCAGGAATTTCAAAGGTAAGTTTGACATTTTTATATTTTAGCATGATCAAATTTAAGATACGAATTTTATTGTATACTATAGTAGATCAGTGCACTGATAATAATTGTTACAATTATTGCAAAAAGAACAAAAACAATGAATAACCATGGTTATAACGCTTTATTGTGGTTATATTTTTTTTATAAAGTTTTTATTCATTGTTTTTGTTTTTGAGTCAGATCACGTCAATTGACGTGGACTTAAGTGGACCCCCCATTTCCCACTTGGTAATAGAATTTAAATTTTAATACCTACATCAATCGTTAGTAGTCATTAGTAACAATATTTCCTTAAAATAATTTTTTTTTTATTTTAATTTTAACAGTTTTTTTGTAACAAAGATTTTTCTCACTTTTAATTAAAAAAATAATTGTAAAAAAACTGTTAAAAGTTTCGTAGTGAAATTTTCAGGACTTTTTTTTTAATTTTTTTATACTTTTTTTGATCATTGAAATATACAATTCAAATTTTTGATAAAGTCTCTATCAAATAATCAAGTTTTTTTCATGGTTACATGTACTGGATATAAAGGTTTCATATCCTGAAAAAAAAATTTCACTGCCCGGCATTACTTTAAACATTATTAATTTTTTACTGCAAGGCTCCGCGCCTCATGAGTCGAAGCCGCGCTCGGCTGAATTGGTTTGAATGATTTGTTTTTATTTGAATTCAAAATATGACATCCATTTTAATATTTTTATTAGTAAATATACAGTCGACAAATATTTTACAATTTTTTAATCAATAAAATAAATGAATTAATTAATTAATACAGAATATTTTTATTAGCTATCGCAAGACTTTTCTTTATACACAAAAACAAATATTTTTTTTTTGTTCTAAGCGTTTTTTAAATAATATTTATTAAATTTTATAAAATGAGTCTTGTAAATAAATGCTTTAATAATGTTATAATTTATATATTTTTTAAGGACCAAAAAGAAAATAAAATAAGGGGAAAAAATGATGAGTTATTTGACTCATTTGATGATGTGTCCAGTGATGAATCAGTAAGTATACTTATCTGTAGATTATTATACAGTATTATACTCATGTGTATGCATTAATTAGTATTATTGATGTTTTAATTCATATTTTTTCTAAGGTTAAAGAGGACATTGAAACCTCTGAGGTTGATTCGGAATAAACTTTACAACATAACACTTTGTGTTTTATTTCAGTATACTATTGTACCTCAAGTTTAATTATACAAAGTTTATACAAAAGTGCTCTTTTAGTTCCACCCTTACTTCTTAAGAAGTCCCATAAGCCAACTGAATGGCTTGTGCCGGTTAGGGGTAGGAACGGACCGCGGGTTTAAAGTCCCCTTCGAAGGACTAATACACAATAGGACAAACACAAATAAACAGCCATACCCCTGGTGGGATTCGAACCCACGACCTCCGGCTTGTAGTCAGCAGCACTAACCACTAGACCACCGTCGGCGTGGATGGCATAATTGTCTAAAAAAATATTCTCCAATTGGACATAAATCACATCTTTATTTAACATTTTTCATTTGACTTTATTTACAAATATAACCAAAATCTGTTATTTTAAAAAATAACACGTTTTATTTTGTGTTCCAATTTATACGTATACGCACGAAATTCACCGTAAATACGCACGCGAAGATGCGTCCTCCCCTTGAATTCACCGTAAATGCACAAGTGAAGCTCGAAGTGAGTGCGCATGCATGCTAAAATTCGCGCGAAAAAATTGAAATTATGGTGAATGCACATTTTTTGTTCAGAAAACTTATTTTACTCTATAGGGGAAAATATGTTTTCTGAACATGCACCCTTATTTCATTTTTTCCGCGCGAATTTAGAACACGCATGCATTTACGGTGAATTTAAGGGACGGACGCATCTTCACGTGTGCATTCACGGTGAATTTAGGTGTGCATTTAAGGGGCGGACGCATCTTCACGTGTGCATTCACGGTGAATTCAATGGGCGGATATATCTTCACGTGTGCATTCACGGTGAATTCCAGGGGCGGACGCATCTTTTAGCAACCGTGAATTCACGCGTGAAGCAATATTTTTCACCGTGCATTCACGGTGAACTCACGAATGTTATCTGGGTAGTTATAATAATATATAGTGTGGTAGCTGTATTTATGTAATTTACATGGTTATAATACACTCACAGGCAAAATATTAGATCCACACAAATTTTCGATGAATTTTGATCGCAAATAACTTTTTTATTTGATTTCGGATTTAAACAAATATTAAAGAATATTGTAGATACATTAATGGAGAATCGCTCACATTTTAAAAATTATTAAAAATAGACGTACGTTTATAATATACAGGTTTAAACAAAAATATGTTTTTTACCATAAGTTTAAGACACTCTGTAGTTGCTAAACCATATATTGTTCTAAATTAAGTTTTAATTATCAAGTCACATCTATTTTTAACAGTTTTGTTTTTAGTTCACCTTGATATATTTATTTTTGTGGAAAAAATGGATTTTTTTAAAAAAACATTGCAATTTCTAATATTTTCCTGTATGAAGAACTAAGGTTGCTATGGTCCATCCATAGCCTATGGAGGATTACAGTGACAGTTTTGTTGAATCATCCCATACTTAGACATGTCAAATACAGCTTTCAAAAACTATCAAATTATTTTTTGTAAATTAATGTGTTAATTTTGAGGTGTCTTCTTACTTTTAAAAATGTCTCCGACTGTTGCCCTTTGTACTTTACTTCTGGTGATGTTTAAAACACTTGTCACGTAATACTGTGACCGTCCATCCTTGATTAAATTAATGGCTCTGGCAACATCAGTCGGAGACATATCCATTTTTTAAAGTAAGAAGACAAAATTTAAATATTAATTTGCAAAAATCAATTTAATAGCTTTTGAAAGCCGTGTATGACATGTCCAAGTATGGGATGATTCAACAAAACTTTCATAGTAATTCTTTATAACCTATGGATGGACCATAGCAACCTTAGTTCTTCATATAGAAACATATTGGAAATTGCAATGTTTTTTTAAAAAATCCATATTTTCCACAAAAATATATATATCGAGGTTAACCAAAAACAAAACTGTTAAAAATAGATGTGACTTAATAATTAAAACTTAATTTAGAACAATATACGGTTTTGCCACTCTACAGAGTGTCTTAAACTTAGGGTAAAAAACATCTTTTTGTTTAAACCTGTATATTATAAACGTACGTCTATTTTTTAGTAATTTTTTTAAATGTGAGCGATTGTCCATTAATGTATCTACAATATTCTTTAATATTCGTTTAAATCCGACATCAAATAAAAAAGTTATTTGCGATTGAAATTCATCGAAAATTTGTGTGGATCGATTATTTTGCCTGTGAGTGTATTTGCAGGAAAAAATATTTTATTCCTAAAATAACTCTCCCATTACAGGAGGTGCTTTCCAATTTACCGTTTTAAGTACACAATGCAGCCCTGGGTTTTAAGTTTGCGTTTTCATTACTCTTGTGTTTCATACTCATTGTAGCATTGGGGCTACATTGCATGCTCAAAACAGTTAAATGGAAAGCACCTATGGTGTGGAGCCAGTGCATCATTACACCCTGTATAAAGTTTTTGACTTACCCAATAGGCATATATCTTAGAAAAACCGTTTTCATAATACCAGTTTTTATAATAGTCAGATGGTATAAACAGAGTGGTATCCATAATATTATACCAGTTGGACGAATGGCAAACAAAATTGCTATTAGAGCTATAAATTTGTTATTGTCATCTAAAATTAAGTTAATTAGAATTTTTACCCAGAAGAAAGAAAAAAACATATAAACCTTTCCCTTTTCCAGGCCATGGAAACTGATTTAAGGCTATAGTGGATAAGGCACATTCAAAACTATTTATCAAGGTACGAGATCCTGTGTAAAACCAAAACCAAGAGCTGGATATTATAAATACTGACCACTTTTTACTTCCAGACCATTTATAAAAACATAAATCCGAATATGCACTAAGCAATGCTTGTAATATTTTTGGACCATAAATCTTTAAGAACAAAAATTTTATTTAAAAAAATTTAATATTTTATACAAGGTAAATAAGCACACTAACTTCAACAGGTTAAGGTACTTATATCACCCTATATTTTACTATGTGGTCTACCAAAAACAATGCTTACCAGTGCATGTGGATTATCTAATCCAGTTAATTCAAGACATTTGTACAAAACAGCAAAGATTAAGGGATGTATGTAGCTTCGGATACCATTAATCCATTCCCATGTTAAATATCCATAGTCAAATACTATTTTATGTGCTACCTCGATAGATTGCCAATACTCATCAGGTACGAAATACGTTTGTGTTAAAAATACTGAAGCTATTCGTATACTCACGAAAATTAAGAGGACGGTTAAGTTTTCCATATTTTATAACATTGATCCTTTAAACTCGAAAAGGATGACTTAAAGTACTATAAGTTAGGTATCATTTTTCGATAGCCACCACGTTATTGCTAAAATTATGACAGTAATAGTCCTAATTTTTAAAAATAGAATCCGCCGACCTCCACGATGCAGGTTATGTTTTCATAAGTGACATTTCATAATATGCAACCGGGATTACAAATGTAAGTAAGAAATGCTACCAAGATTACATAACATATGAGAAGTCTTGAGGATTTTCTTTTCTTATTTATAATACCAAAACTGAACACTGTAGTGTTATAATACTATTATTAAAGTTAATAGTATATTATGTATTAAGTTTGATAAACGTCATTTTATACACGAATTTAATTTAGGCACGAGCGAGTTCTTAAATTAATGAGTGTAAGTATAGAAAAGTTTATAAACGAGGTGCATACTATACTTTTTCTACGACAAATACTTATTATCTTAAAATGATTTAAATCAACAATAGGTGAATCTGTGTGTCACCGTCAAATGTCAAATTTTTTTATTTTATAAACACAGATTATAAAGGTTATAAATCGAAATGTATTTCTTGAAAATTGACAGTGGAGTTCGTGCCCGAATTTAAGTTATAGTTTACTGCCGGCGAAATTAAAAGGTCAGTAAAATTGTATTGAACATGTTCATATAAACTTTTCAAATATTGGCGTTGAGAAACTATTTAATATTTTTGTATTGAGATAATACAATAATTTTCACATTAGTGTTATTTTACAAGAAAGACACTTTATTTTAACGATTGTATGACATTTGACATCTGTGAACTAACTTAAAACTAACTTCAGCCCGTGACTAAAAACCTGTTGCTAACTTCAGACCGTGACTAAAGCGCCATAAAGCCACAACTTGTCAAAGTGTATTTAAAAGGTCACTTAGGGCGTTTTAAAGGTGGGAGTCGAAAAAAGTTATTAACTTAAATATATTTGATAAAGAATTGTATACAATATATACAGGGTGTTTCATAATATATGCGCAGGACTTCAGGATGTGATAGCTCATCCAAAAAGATGAAAAAAGTCGCTATTAACTTACCCTCTAAAATGCACAATTTTCGAGATACAGGGTGTTGAAATTTTAGAAAAAAAATCGTTTTTTTAGATTATCTCTGGAACCGTTTATCGTACAAAAAACAGATTTTGTAAGCATTTTCTACTCATAATAAGCTATGTTTTGTGCCAGAAAAAATTTTTTTTTACTCATAATTGGTGGAGATTTTGAAGGGGTAGCGAGTGTTTTTCTCCTCAACTTCAACGCCCCTGAAAAAAAGTACGGTTTTGAGAGGCCCATTCCCCGCCAATGTTTTCTACAGAAAAAAGGTACTCTTGGTCATAAGCTCTAAAGTTGCCCGTTTTCGAGAAAAATCAACTTTTATGTTTAAAAACATGGTCAATTTTTTGAAAAAATTTTTTTATTACTAATTAAACAAAATTTATTTTAACGTTAGAAAAAGTAACAAAACCAAACGATAATTGCAAAATTAAAAAAAAAATAAAAAATGATTTTTTACTCAAATGCTGAAATGTGCGAAATGCGTTACCTTTACGGTTTGGAGAATTAAGCAAAGACAACTTTTAAATCATTTTTTATTTTGCAATTATGGTTTGGTTTTGTTACTTGTCCTAACGTTAAAATGAATTTTGTTTAATTAGTAAAAAAAAAATATTTTTTTTTTAAATTGACCATGTTTTTAAACATAAAAGTTGATTTTTCTCAAAAATGGTCAACTTTAGAGCTTATGACCAGGAGTACCTTTTTTGTGTAGAAAACATTGGCGGTTCGAATGGGCCTCTCAAAACCGTACTTTTTTTAGGGGTGTAGAAGTTGAGGAGAAAAACACCCGCTACCCCTTCAAAATCTCCATCAATTATGAGGAAAAAAATTTTTTTTCTAGCACAAAACATAGCTTATTTTGAGTAGAAAATGCTTACAAAAGCTGTTTTTTGTACGATAAATGGTTCCGGAGATATTCGAAAAAAACGAATTTTTTTCTAAAATTTCAACACCCTGTATCTCGAAAATTGTGCATTTTAGAGCGTAACTTAATAGCGACTTTTTTCATCTTTTTGGATGAGCTATCACATCCTGAAGTCCTGCGCATATATTATGAAACACCCTGTATATACGCTGTGGCTCCCGTCCCGAGGCGGGACTTAAGTTCAGTCCCGATTGACGTCATAATTTTAAGATTTGTTATGTTACAATAAAACTAAAACAAACCAACCCAACCCAACCCAAACTCAACAACACAACCCAACCGACCCCGCCCAACTTTTTAAATGTTATTATAATAATAATATAATATATTATAATATATATAGTCGCCTTCTCCAAAATTAAAATACGATTGGTTCATATTACAGTGAATATTGAAATCGTATGAATACAACATTTTAAACGTTAAATAATTAATCTCAGTAAAATATATATAATCGCCTACAAAAATATGTAGGTAGTGTTCTTAGTCACTCTTTTTAAGATGAATATACCTTTAGCTTTTGGGCCGCCAATTTTGGGACAACCTGCAGGAATTCCCTAGATATAGGGTGTCCCAAAAGCTAAAGGTACCTATATTCCTCTTAAAAAGAGTGAAAAGAACACTGCATAGTGGTTCTGTGCCCTTTGGGGTTTTCTATGCCTATAGTGACTTTGTGAGCAACCGCTAGTCCAGCATTCATTGCATAATTCAATCGTTATTTTGAAAACGCCTGCTAAAGACTCATCAACTGCGGGCGGATTTGTAGCCATTTCCTCCACTCAAGTTTGTTCTCCAAGTTTCTAGTACTTCATGGCAGAAATACTGAGCTCTCTTTGGCGGCTTTAAAGTTCAACTAACTTCTGAAATTTTGCGAATTTACCTTTACCCTTTGAGCATATTAGTAATATGATATCTATATTTAAACAAATATTGAAAATTGTATTTTTAATTAAAAAAAAATTTATAAAAAATAAATATTTATTATACCAAGCATTTTTTAATATGATATCTTTCGAGGGTGATAAAATTTTCCAAAAGCTCATCCAAGTTTTCATTACTTCTTGCAATTTGTCTTTTAATGCATTGTTTAATTTCTTCTTTGGCGCCTTTATCTGCACCTCTTGTACCAATTCTTCTTTGACTCCTTCAAAATTAAATATTATTTATAGCATAAAAATAAAAAAAAGTAAACTTACCCCAGATGTGGTAAAATATCCAGTGTTATTTGGCCTCCTTGTGTCCAAAGGTAGGTAAGCTCTTCCAAAATATCAACATTTACAAGATAATTTTGAAATAATGGGTAATGAAATGACCCATTTTGCTTTATGTGTTCAATTAGTGGGGGAATTAACTCTTCTTCTTGAGGCCAGTCCAATTGCACTAAGGCAAATATATTTCCTATTGATAGTTCACTGTAATTCATTTTTTCTAAATTATCCTACAAAAGATACAAATAATTTGAATGGCTTTTTTGTGGATTATATGTTTTACCCAAATAGACCTTAGTAAAATTTTAACCAAATACTGCAAAACAGAAAACCGAGATAAAGGCAAATAATGTAAATGCCTTTGAGTTCCTCCAGTTATAAGAAGACTACTCAAACTTCTTAAATTATTTGAAGGTAATAATGGTATTGCTGAACTTATTGCATCAAAACTTGACTAAAACATGTATTATTACTTTATATTTAATTAATTATTATATTTAGTTACTTACTCCATAATTTTTAGTAATATACAATACACTTGCAATTCTTATAAATTTACTTAACTGAGCCATTGGTTCAAATATTTGCTGAAGACCTGTTAAAGCATCCTCATATTTGCCCTTATAAATAGCATAGTCAATTAGGAAATTTGATATCCAGGTATCCAATTTTAAATTTGCACTTAATTTTGGAAATTCTAAAACAGAATTAAAAAACTTTTTTAAAAGTAGACATTTACTTTTTTGTAAGAATATAAGTTAAAAAAGATCATTTAACCCAGACAAATCTTAGAAAGAAGTTATTGTTTTTTAAAATACTTCTTATTTACCTCTTTGTAAAATTTCAGAAGAATTAATAAGATCCCAACAGTTTAAACACATCAAAAAATTATTATGCATTGTTTTAAACTTTGGATTTTCCACTGTTATGTGCGGTTGTGTATATTCACCATCAGATTTTCGCTTTTTACCTTTTGTCTCTGCCACTGGATTGGGAAGATTTTTGTCTTAAAATTAAATGTTATAATAAATAATTCAATTCATTATATCTTTATTGTTTTACCATTAAAAGCTTCCACTAGGACAAAAGTAGTTGGTATTTGTCCTGGACTAGATTCTGGATTTAAGCTAGAACTGTAATCATGCAAACACAACATAAAAAATATTGATATACAGAAAAGTAAAGGTTTTTCATCATTATTTGTTTGGTGATAGTTTAATATTTTCTGCCAGTATGCTTCCTTAGACCTAAAAATAAAAAATGTTTTAAAAACACTTTTGTTATTAATTAATTACCCATTACCAATTGTTCCTAAAATTAATAAGACCTGGTTCCCAACCTAACTGATTTCCTATAAATTCCACAATTGCAAATAATTTTTTCCAAGGATCATCCATTTTCCCTTCACTTTCCTTAAATAGGAATGTTTTACATGAATTTTATTGACTAAAAACTTACTTGTAAGGATGTTTGTGGAAGTCCTAAATAACAAAGGTAAAACTCAATTGATTTATTCAACAATTTAAAAAGCATTTTAGGAGACAAATCCACTATAATGTTATCATGGGCAAGCAAAGGTAATAATTCACCAACCAATAATTTTCTATATGCATTTGTAGGCATATGGCCATCTTCACTGTGTTTTTCAGCAGATATTAATGTATCCACTAATCTTGGCTGAAAAATATTTAACAAAATAAAAATAAGAAGTTACATTTTTGTATATTGAATTTAAATTAAGGGGTTTTTATTTTAAATCAACCAGGTAAAGTTTGGAAAAAGAAGAAAAAAACACTTGTTACTCACCCCATTACTTGAAATGGCAGTTGGAAATCTCTGTAGAAGTAGTAATAATAATCTACAATGTTCCATGGTATCCTCACAATTATCTGCAGTGCATAAAAGCAACTTATGCTGAACATCTATAAAATAAACAATTTTTTAACAATGCCTAAAATGTACTTCAATAAATATACCTGAGGAAATATGTTTAAACATTTCACATAAAAACTGTTTTTCAGTATCATTTGTATCACTTTCAGCTCTTAAAGCTGTAGTAACCTTTTCAATCTCCTTTAATAGTTCTGGTTGTTGTTGAAATTTTCCTATGCTAAATTTTAAACAACTATTATTAACTTTAAAAAATTAAAGAAATATTTTTTCATAAATAAGAAATCTGATGCGGAAAGGAAAAAGGAACCTTTTGTTGCTCAACTGAAATATTTTCAAAAATATTGATCAGGGTCGAAAATCAATTTTCGGAATTTTATAGATTCAGGATTCATAAGACCTCATCTACAGGCCTGAAAGTTTTCTTTTATGCTAAAGTGTACTTTATTTGAATTTCGGGGAAATTTTTAATCCCTAAACCTGTTATTAAGTATGAATTGCTTTCCATAGAAAAAGTTAAAAAAGACTAACTTAGAATATTTTCATTGTACAAGAATGAATTTGGACTCAAAATGTTCAAAATATAGTGTGGTAGTCATGATATGTAATTAAAAAAAACAATACCTCAAATTGTTTTTTTTTTGACAAGAGATCCTGAATCAGGATTCCTGATTCACATATACTGAAATCATGGATCATAAGTTATGATTATTATTATTATGATTCATAAGACTAAATGTTCTTTGTATAAAAAACTATACAAAATACTATATTATAGTATTATTATTATAATACTTACAGGTCACTGAAGCATCTAGCGGCTTCCTTAACATGTCCCGCATTTTTCTCAATAAAATATGCCTCAAACTAATAAACATTTAAGTTAAAAGTCACAAAAAAACACATTTTAATAATACCTGCACGCCAAAATTATTAGGATATAACGTTTTTGCGGTTATCATCCAAGCTTTCGCTTTCAAAGGACTAATAGTAAATGCATGTTTGGCCCTTTGAATTACATATTCCTCGTCCGTTATATCCACATCCATAATTTATTATTTTTTTGCAATATTATGTTTATTTCGGCTTTTTAGGTTAGGTGAGGATTTGACGTTTCTGACAGTGGCTTTAAATGCAATGTTGACAGATTAGATTAAAAATATATTATTTAAAACACATTTGTAAAAAGTGGATATATCGATTATAAGCAAATAAAAGATTTTAATAAATATTTTTTTAATTTTTTGTTTTCGTTAAACAACTTTATTTTAATTAGCTTAATTGTATTTGAATTATGCACAATACGACAACATTGTTTATACACCGCAATCCAAAACGATGATTAGTAAAATGTAATTTATAATAAATAAATTAAACAATACTTTTATGATTTAAATTATTAATACAAAGAATTATTAATCATTTTTTATATAAATTTTAATAAAATTGTGAATAAAATCTGCTAACTTTTAATTTATAAGATTTATAATTTCGTGTGGTGCGCAGTGTAATTTGAGTTGTTCAGTGTAGGGACGTGTAAAGTTTACAAGGTCAAAATTTTCCTGAGTGGCCGTTTTAATTTTAACAGAGATATATCTCTGATTGTAAATTTGATTCCTTATACGTGGGTTTATTATTAACAGCACAAATATGAGGAACTTATTTTGTTTATGTTTGATGCTATGCATCAGTTTAATTAAATCTCAAAGAGTAGCACCAGGAGTACCGCCACAACATTACGTGAGTACCATATGGATATTTCTGTTTTTTGCTTTAAAATATAAAGAAAAATATTCAAATTTAAAAGAAGACTTGTATTATTTTTGTTTTATAACTATAAATGTGTTTAAATTAGGGCAACATATGTTTATTATTGTTTTTAGCAACAGCAACAAGTTTATCAGCAACACCCAGGTCAAAATGTCCCTCAACAACAATTCCAACAACAACCACAATTTCAGCAGCAACCACAATTCCAACAGCCAATGCAACAACAGGTTCCAATGCAACAACAGGTTCCAATGCAACAACAGGTTCCAATGCAACAACAGGTACCAATGCAGCAAGTACCAATGCAACAAGTTCCCATGCAACAGCAAGTACCTCAACAACAAATGAACGCACCCCATGGACACGACCACCATGGGCCACCACAAATTTTAAATGCTAATATTGCACAAGAAAAAGAGTGTGTTTAATTTTGATTTATTTTTTGCATGTAATATTATTTTGTGTTTTTAGTCATATTGCTGAACATATGGATGTCCCAATTGATACTAGTAAAATGTCTGAACAAGAGCTACAATTTCACTATTTTAAAATGCATGATGCTGATAACAATAACAAATTGGATGGTTGTGAATTAATAAAATCTTTGATCCATTGGCATGGTAAGAATACTGATTTTTTATTTATACCTTATAATTATATTTATTTTGCAAATTTGCTTTGAGAACTAAAAAAACATTTTTTAATGCTATAGCATATACAAATATATTTATTTATAGAGACATTTTACTGTTTAACATCTTATATTATAAAAACATAGTTATTGGGCTGCTTTGGCAAACTTTAATAAGTACTAGGTGTTGAAGGTTTTGAAAGAATCATAAATATAATATTTGATATGAGTACATTAGATGCAAAACTCGGTTTTTGCACATTTTTAAAAAATATATATTTTATCTTATTTATGTTCATAAATGCACTGCCCACAGCATAACTAAGTAAACCAGATGCATAAGTTAATATTTGTAGAATAAAATACATTTATAAACTTACCGCAGCTGCAAAACTGGGTATTTGTCGGATGCAAAACTCGGTATTTGACCAATCACCAATCACGTTGCTAGTATACGCATTAACTGACGGCATAACAATCACCTGATTAATTGTTATTTTTTTGGTATTTGCACTTTTCACTTGCAAAACTTGGTCTTTGAACGAGGAAGATGCAAAACTATGTTTTTAAATCTTTTGATTTCAATTATTTACTAAACTACTTAATTTTAAAGGACTTTTTTTTTCTTTTTTGAATAAGAAATTATGCAAAAGCACGTCTATACGATTTTTGTATTTTTTTTTTCAAATATGACCTTATGAGCGGTTTTTCGTGTTTTTCTTAAAATCACTTATCCTGCAAATACAGAGTTTTGCATCTAATGTACTCATATTTCAATAACATTTTGAAGGTGTGTAGTGGGTGTGTTTAAAACTTTTTAAGTTTGATTACACTTTGCATTAAAGACCTAGTTAAAACTAATATTATAGCATTAAAAATGCGATACGCGTCAAATTGGACTAAAATTTAGTTTTATTGGTTTACATTTTCCAATAGTAACTATTTAACTGTTATTATCTATATTGTTTAAACCTATTAGCAATATTTAAAAAATAATTTACATAATATGTAGGTACCTACCTACAAAAACAGTTATATTTAAAAAAAATATTTTTTAAAACTAGGTAATTAATTCAGTAATGCTTGTAAATGAGACCCCTTATAACCTAGAAGATAAGTCCAAAATTAATGTGAGTAAAGTTTCGATTACATATTTAAGGTACCTAATGAAGTAGTTATTTTAAAAATATTATTTACCTTACTTTGTGCATGTGCAATTTTTTTTATGAGGAATTTAATTCCTGTGGCTTTATTTTATCGATTTTTTTAGGGACTGTCTACAGTTCCTAGCAGTAGGAATTTTAGTTGCCAAGTCTAAAATTCCTATTGGTAGGAACTACAGCTACCTGTCAGAAGTTACTACCAGGAGGTAGGGTAGAAACTGTAGAAATAGCGATTACAGTTCCTACTTTGTGTTTTGTGGTTCCTACCTCTCTTTTTAGATAGCCTCTTCTCTATTGATTTAAAAGCATAATATGCCCCCATATGGGGTTAAACACTTTTATCAACAAAATTTATCGTGATTGCTTAAGCTTAAGGAATTTCTTGTGGAAATTTGTGGATATTCCTTTTTAAAAACATGTATAACTTGAACCTTTTCAGATCGTTGACCAGCAATGGTAACTAGTATATTTGTGTAAAAGTCTGATAATTTGGAAAATCTAATGCAAACAAATTTAATTTTTTGTTGATGTTTTCACGGTGATTTGTTTTGCTAATATTAGGGAAATGAGGACCCCCTAAGCAGTTTTGCTTATATTTTGCTTTAGCTTTAATTAATTATTAACAAACAAATCGTTAAAAAAATTATTTTATTTATAACAGAAGGAACACATAATTATAAAAATAAAAAAAAGTCAAAAGGGCCTCATTATCCGCCGCGTCGGGAAATGAGGACCCCAAAGTAAACCTGATCTCTTTTTACAGAAATTTCATATATATGCCGATTTTTTTCTTGCACCTGAGCATTTGGCATACGTCCACTCAAAAGTCTTGAGTCTTGAGTCAAATCACCTGCTAGATACAGGAGCATCCTTGTTCACATTTGACGCTGCATCTGCTACAGCTTCTTGTATAGTTTCAAGAGGAAAAGGATTTAAAACAATTGCTGAAGCAAAATCTTCATAAAAAATTATTTATTTTTTTACTTTGAGACAATGGGGACTGGAGGGGCCTTATTACCCCAAATTATGTGTAAAAAACCAAATCTTCATAAAAATATCAACTACTAACTTACTAACGTTTTATAAATGAAGATTTTAAAATTTAGATCCAATAACTTCTTTGTCATTTCTCAGCAATTTCTCAGCCATTTTCCTATGAAGGCTTAGAAGGGCCAACAAAAATTTTATAAGTTTTAGCTGAAACTAACTTTGATTTTTGCAATTTCTATTCTATAATAATTATTGTAACTTGAACTTACAATTGTAGGTTCAAGTTACAATTGTAGGATAAACCTAAAGGTAAGTTTATTGTTTCTTCTCTCTATAGTATAACAAATTTAGTGTTTTTAATAGGTACTACCTATTAGGTAGCTATGGAACGATATTCCAAAATGGGGCTTCAGAAAAAAGAAATATTATAATATTATTTAAAGGCAAGCATAACGTATTTATAAGACCTATAACCTTAAAACGGCTTCTGTGCAGACTAGGGCTGCGATTATCAAAATTCATAATCGAATATTGATTATCTAAAATATTCGATTTTTTCGATTAATCGATTATTGATTAATCGATTTTTTGATTATTCGATTATTAATTAATCGATTATTTGATTAATCGATAATATTATTAGTTAAAAAAAATGCGTTTGACCATTATAAGTTGGCGGAGCAAAGAAATGTTCATGCAATTTAGATAAATAATATTAAAAAACATACCTACTCAGTTATGTTTTTTATTATTATTTATATATATAAATTATATAATATAATTATTTATATTAAAAAAAATACGTTTTAAAAGCACACAACACGACAATTGTTGAATAATTAAATAACTTGATTCATTCGGTCCCTCAACTTATCGTGGACAGACAGTACATTATTTTAATTTAAATAATAATAATAATTATTATTACAATAATAAAATAATCGATTAATCGAATAATCGATTATTTTGCCCAGATCGATCTTGTAAGAAGTAAATTTAGTCATTTAGAGAATGTTTATGCTTTTATTCTGTTTCTTATCACTACTTCTGCCCAAGTTACAATTGTAACTTGAACTTACAATTGTAACTTGAACCTACAATTGTAAGTTCAAGTTACAATTATAGAACAGAAATTGCAAAAATCAAAGTTAGTTTTGGCTAAAAAAATTTGTTGGCCCTTCTACGCCTTCGTATTTTCCTGCTATTCCCTGCTGTTTGTTAAATTTTACTCTGCCGTTTCTCTACCGTTCTCCGCAGTTTCTCTGGCATTTCTCTACCAAATTGTCATTTGTCGACGTTTCTCTGCCAAACTTTGCCATTCCCCTCCTTCTTTCTGTCATTTCTCTACCATTTCTTAGCCGTCTCTCTGCTATATATCCGACCGAATATAATAATAATAAAAATAATAAAATACATTTATTAACCCAAAAAACACAATGCGGTTTACAGAGGGAACTCTAATTAAATATACATCAGTTTACATATAAATACAATAAAAATATTGTCACCTATTAATTAATTTTAAAACACAAATTCATTCTGTACATATACACAATACATAAATTAGCTTGGCCTAAAGTGTTTTTTTTATTTCATTTATATTCAATAAATCATACTTTTTTACAAGTTCGTTATATTTATCGGCTCCTTTATACAAGATAGACGATTTTCCAAAATTGGAGGTAAAAGGATACAAATCTAATAAATTGTTGTTACGAGTATCATGAGCGTGTATGTTATTTCGTATTGTAAGAGTTAGATTGGAATGTTTTTTTTTTGTTAAGATTATTAAAAATAAAGGCGGTTGCCTGAAAGTAATAAATATTTTCGAATGGCATTATATTAAAATTATTATACAAATCTGAGGTACTGTATCTCATGGGCAATGAGTACAGGTTTTTTATGGCCTTGTTTTGAAGGGTTTTAAGGGGTGTTATTACATTATTAGAAGTGGGAAACCATACTGCCGTGAGGTATTGAAGATGGGAGTGAATTATTTTATTATTATATAATTTTTTGAATTATTATATTATTATAATATTATATAATTTTTTCGGATATTTTAAAACCTTCTGGCGAATCCAAAGGTATGATTTTATTAAACAAATGTATAAATTAGGGCTGTAGGTACAATTTAGCCGGTTAAGTCGGCTAAAAAGGTTAGCTAAGTTAATTAGCTAGCTAACTGATCAGCTTTACTAATTTAACCGGTTAACTGAATTAGCTGGCGGCTTAACCGGTTAAGCCGCTATTTCTAAAAAAAACGGTAGGAACAACAGAACAAGTAGGAACTTAAGCCGCTATTTCTAATGTTTACCCTGGTACTAACTTTTGACCAGGTGACTGCAGGAATTTTAGACTTGACGACTAAAATTCCTACTGGTTGGAACTGTAGACAAAGGTCTTCTTATTTTTTAATCTATATATTTAGTAAAAATGTTGTACTTGTACTTGTCCAATAAAACATTTACTTACTTATTTTCTTATTTCAGCGGGACCAATGCAAGGTCTATTTATTTTTTAAGACTATTTTTAACGTATGTAATAGGACGTCTACTTTTAAACAACATTTTTTGCCACAATGGGACCTAGGACCTTCACTATTTTTACTAATTTCCATATTATCATTGGATGGGACATTCCATTTTCATAGTTTTTTGTCTCAAGCGAATAAGCGCGGGGCAACTACGCACAGTTGTTCAAAATTAAAAAATATAGGGAAACATTGGCACAGTGGCTTGAATTAAAAAAAAATGTTGGACAAATTCGCACAGTAATTCAAAATTAAAAAATAGTAGCAAACATTTACGTGTCAAACTTTGTAAATGAATCTTTACGGGCGAGCTGGAAGTTTGTGGGGTGAGCGATGCAGGAGCACACCCCATAACCCAGTGAGCCTAGTAAAAATTAATTGCCAAGCGTGACACATACTTTTAATTTTACCTTTTTGAGCGTTCAAGTATTACGTAACGCAATTTTTGGAGATTTTTGACCCCCCCATGTAATGCGCCGTAACGTTTTTTTGTACACTCCTCCACCCTAGTTAAACGTTACGTAACCACCATTTTTACCTAAAAGTCACAATTATGTGGCGTGAAGTACTGGAAACAATGTTACGTAACGCCTAGTTCAAAACCCCCCTCCCGCCCCTGTAACGCATCGTAACGTTTCACAAGAAACCCCCCTCCCCCCAAATTCGTTACGTAATATTTGAACGCTCCCTATTAAAAACCATTTAATAAATAGCTTTTGTACAAGCCTGTAAAACTTTACAGGTCTTTTATACAAACCCGTAATGAATCGTTTACTGGGATACAAAAACAACAAAATTAACCTATAAAATGTAATTTACTAAGAAGATAATACACCCCATTATTATTATCTTTGGGTGTTTAAAAGTTTAAAAAATGGTAGGACAAATTCGTTCAGTAGAATTAATTTAAAAACAAATTTACACAGTATTTCAAAATTAAAAAATAGTTAGTGGGAAAAATCAGGACAACAACATTTAAAAATAAAAACCAGTCAAGATGAATAAACATCCTTTGAGTATAATTATCCTCATATTTTTATAAATTATAACCTAATATTTGTATAGATTTAACTTTTACCGGTTTTTGCATTTTGTTGATATCCTCATTTCCACACGTAGAGCTACATTTTTCATAAAAAAAAAATTCATTCAATTTTTTATTTGTTTTTAACACCCTCTATACATCCACAAAAAGTTATTGGTTGGTTGGATTCAATACAAATTTTCAATAAGTCAAAACAACAAAATTTGTGATAAAAAATTTAATTTTTGAAAATTACGAGACGAGATTCCATCCTGGGGTATCTTAACTGTTGTGTTTAATAAGAAATACATACTGGAAATAAACTATTAGGTGCTAAAATAATTTAATTTATTTTTGTAAAAAATTATATTGAACAATATTTTTATGATTTAAACTTTTTTTAAATAACTGACGAATATGTCTTGTAAAAATATTATAATACCATTAAAAATTTTATAATTGTTTAGTTTTTAATTGCTGAAAATAACAAATTCACATGAATTACCTATGATAGAAATGTTTAAAAAATACTTTTTCATAAAAGGCACAAATTTTCTGGATTTTGTGAAAATACATGAGAATTTGGTTGTTGTAAAGTATTATTTTATGCCTTAGTAACAAAACAATAACTAATTTAGGTTTAACAGTAAAATATCTCTTGAACAGTATTTCATTTTAATTATTTCTTAATATAAATGCATGTTTGTATGCCATTCTTGGTTTTGGGTTACTTTATGTGCTTCTTGTATAGAACAGGGAAAGGAAAAGCAGGGAGCTGCTGTTGAAGAGAAGGTTTTCAAAGATGACGAATTGACAAATTTAATTGATCCTATTCTTAATGTTGATGATGCAAATCAAGACGGATTTATTGATTATCCTGAATTTATCAGAGCTCAACAAAAGGCAACTGGTCAACCAAAACCAGCTTCATAAATAGTAGGTTGTATAAATTATCGCTTTTCGTGCACGTGTGCTTTAAATTTTTCGTTTTTAAGAGTTAAGATTAAAATATTTTTTTCTAGGTCCATCTGGCACTACCAAAGAGATTTTGACTGATGATAGCCTCTCTCAATTAGTAGATGATATACTGAATATTATGGATACAAATTCTGATGGATATATCGATTATACAGAGTATAAATTAAATGAACTTAAGAACTAAGTAATTTACATACATTGTATTTTATCATATTGGTGTTCTATATTTTTATATACATTTTTGATGGCATAATTTATTACATTGTTTTATTGTTTTTTTACATAATTTATTACATTTTTTAAAATTTTCAAAATAGGACAATAACCTCTCAAGCTGGTAATGTGTATGAAAGTAAATTTTGTAAATATTCCTAATAACTGTAGGTACTATTTTTATGGTTTTGGTTGTGCAATTGTTATTTATCTGTATATATTGAAATGTTTCCAATAATATATTTTTTACAATTTAAAATTTGCTTTGTTTTATACCAAAAACATTTACTTTTACAGTATAACAATTTTCATATTATAACCCTTAGCCTATGACAGATTTCTTACGTCAGTCTTACGTAAGAAAGTGACCTAAAACGTATGTAATAGTATGACGTATCTCTTACGTCATCCTTACGTAAGAAAGTGACCTAAAACTTATGTAATATTATGACAGATTTCTTACGTCAGTCTTACGTAAGATGGTGACCTAAAACTTATGTAATATTATGACAGATTTTTTTATGTCAGTCTTATGTAAGAAATGTTACGTCACTATATGACTTTAATATTACATAAGATGTACGTAATATGTAAGTCATTTAAATACATCATATGAAAGTCACGTTTTGGGTAAGTATTATGTCACTATGACGTAAGAATTGTATTACCTACATATGATCTACGTGTTACGTAAATTTTAGGTCATAAGTCACGGTTTGGTTCACTGGGTTGTATTTTATATCTGATTATAATTTAAAAAAATAATTACAATAAAACCGTTGAACGATAAAACGTGGATTACTTTACCTTCAATATTTCTGCTTGTATGGGACTTGAAAATATTTTTATTTATAATTAATAATTAATTAAATTTCCCCATTCTCGCTTTTATGTATCGAAATATTTTTTTTCAAATAGGGACCTAAGTAATCAATTTAAAAAATATATATTATACTTGTTCTATGTAAAAAATATTCAGCAAAAGGGTGGAGATCTTTTACGCACATGCGTGAACTTATTGACGTTTAATAGTTAGGTTAGGCCGGTTAAACTTCACTGCCCAAGAAATTTTATTTTTATGAAAATGAGCGACAGTAGTGATGAAGAACAAGATGTTAACTACGTACTATTTAAAGATAGACCTGACTGGAAAGATATAAGGCCTATAGAACAAGACGATGATGACGAAATTGTAGCTATACATTATACAGACAAATGTAAGAAAGGTACTGCATGTTTTGTTTGATGTTAGTGTTAACTGCATTCCTTTGTAGTTAAAGACGTCCATAACTACCTTAGAGCTCTTTTGAAAAAAGGCGAAAAGTCTGAGAGGGCTCTCGAACTTACTCGAGTTGCTGCTAGTGAAAACCCTGCAAATTACACTGTTTGGCAATTTAGGTATACAATTTTTAAGATTTATTTTAATAAAAATTACAATTTAATTATATTTTTTTTAGGAGGGACATATTAAAAACACTTAACAAAGATTTACATGAGGAATTGGATTATATTGAAAAGTTTATATTAAAACAATCAAAAAATTATCAAGTTTGGCACCATAGAAAACTATTAGTTGATTGGTTAAAAGATCCATCAAAAGAGAATTATTTTACAACATTAATTTTAAATAAGGATGCTAAAAACTATCATGCCTGGCAACATCGGCAATGGTATATGAAAACATTCCAGTAAGAATATATTTTATTTTAGGGAGTGTAAGTCAGACGTGGATCTATGAGCTTAGGCGGGCTTGAGCACTATTCTAAAACCTTAATAGTGGGTTTAGATTATTAAAACATATACTCGAACATATATATACAGGGTGTTTCTTTTAACTTGAGACAGCTCAATATCTCGAGAAATACGCATTTCACGGAAAAATGTCTTAAATAAAAGGTTAATGTGACCAAAGGGGACATTATTTGGTGCTACCGCTAGCCACCCTCTACCCCTCCTTAAGGGTGAAACGGGGGGTAACTTTGGAAAGTCAAATGGAATGACCCGATTTTTTTCACAGAGTTTGGTAGTACATAAAAAAATAAATAACTTTTATTTAAAACTTTTTTCAATTTATCAACAGATGGCGCTGTAATTCAAAATTTAAGAAAAAGGGGTTTCCTTGTAAAATGTACTATTTGAAACGTTTGAAAAACAAAAATTAACATTAAATCAATAATAGTCGGCTCTGAAAACAATTTATAACAAATGTTCGAAATGTCGTCCTTCCATTTCGACACCAAGTGGAGCACCAGCGTCCCTGGTCGGTAAACGTTTGGTGCGGTACCTTAAGCGAACGATTAATCGGACCCTTCTTTATTGACGATGCATTAAATGGCGAAAAGTACCGGAATTTTCTAGAAAACGATCTGACGGACCTTTTGGAGGATGTACCACTAGCACGGCTCCAAAACATGTGGTACCAGCAAGATGGTTGTCCTGCACATTATTCAACAATTGCTCGAGAGGTGTTGGATCGGGAGTTCAATGGCCGGTGCACCGCGGTGGATCGGTAGACGTGGTCCAGTAATTTGGCCTGCTCGATCACCTAATCTTACGCCACCAGACTTCTTCCAGTGGGGTTACTTGAAAGAAAAAGTTTACGCTGCAATTCCTACAACTTGGGAGGACATGGTGGAGCGGATCAGGAACGCCTGTGCGGCGATACCGCCCGCCATGTTGGCGCGTTGTGTGCCAGAATTCATTACCCGCATTGAAAAATGTATCGAACATTTGTTATAAATTGTTTTCATAGCCGACTATTGTTGTTAATGTTAATTTTTGTTTTTCAAACGTTTCAAATAATACATTTTACAAGGAAACTCATTTTTCTTAAATTTTGAATTACAGCGCCATCTGTTGATAAATTGAAAAAAGTTTTAAATAAAAGTTATTTATTTTTTTATGTACTACCAAACTCTGTGAAAAAAATCGGGTCATTCCATTTGACTTTCCAAAGTTACCCCCCGTTTCACCCTTAAGGAGGGGTAGGGGGTGGCTAGCGGTAGCACCAAATAATGTCCCCTTTAGTCACATTAACCTTTTATTTAAGAAATTTTTCCGTGAAATGCGTATTTCTCGAGATATTGAGCTGTCTCAAGTTAAAAGAAACACCCTGTATATCCAATGGGATATCCCAAATGGTACAGTGTTTAGGGTACCTACCTGGGAGGCTTGGTTTTAATTCCCAGTGCTGCAGCATGGATACTTTTTTTATTTTTTTTATCTTAAAAATACTGCATTTTAACAAATTGTAGCAAAAGTGTGCATAAACATAATATACCTAATATTCTTAAATAATAATATTAATTTTTGTTCAATATAAAAAAGCTCTGCCAAGTGGCCATTGCTGTGTAAAATATTACAGCCAGGTGCAACGTAAGAGTACACTCCCTTTATTTTATGTAAAAAAGCTGCTATAAACATGTGTTTAGTTTATCTCGAGTTTTTCTGTATTCTTTGCTTGAAAAGATAAATTAAAATTTTCCAATCATATTGCATGGGCTTAGTGATGCTGTTTAAAATGGTTTTTAATATTATATAATTTAATTTTTTATTCAGGACATGGTGACATTAAAAATGCAACCATCAAACCAGTGGTTTATAAAATGGTTTGAAATAATAATAAAAAAGTGTTTTCTTTAAAAAAATTTCTTTTGTGAAATTTCGAGACTAAATCATGACAGTTTATTCAAAAATAAAATAAAAGGAATATTGTAAAATTACCTTAATTGTTATAATTGAAGCGTGGTAATTCAAAAGCGTCTAAGTGCCGCTGCCGTGCAAAGCACAAATGTATTAAACAATATTAAGTAATGCATTAGTTACCACCTTTTTGCTTAGCACTGCAGTGGCACTTAGACGCTTTTTAATTACCACGCTTCAATTATAAAATCTTTTATAATAAATAGACCACATAATATTAAATAAATAGGTATTTGGTGGATTATTATTGGAACATGTTAAAAAAGTAAAAATTACCTAATTAGGAAATTAAAATCAAACTCTTTTTTTAAATTTTTTACTTTTTTTGCTCAAATTTTAATTTTATTTGAATATTTATTACTATAGGGAAAAGGGAAAGGAGATAGGGGTTCCAAGTCTTATGTTCTCAAAAATAATTTTTCAGCAACAATTTCTAGTTGCAAAAGTTTTTCAAAGCAATAAATTCTCATAACAAAAATTTCTCTGATGTAAAAATTTGTCAAAGCAAAAATATCTTCAAACAAAATTAACTCACCATCATCTTGGGACCTACATAAAAAATCAATTATCAAAAATAACTAATAATAGGCATACTTACTACAGATTTTAGGTAATATGCATAATAACCAAAGCTAACTAACTAACCCAACCAAACCATCATTCGGGGACCATTGAGAAATTATTAATGTAAGAAATTAGTGCAGTAAAAAATTTTACAGTAAGAAACTATTGCAGGAAGAAATTATAGCAGTGAAAAATTGTTCCAATGAGAAATTATTGCAATCTAAAATTATTGCAATAAGAAATTATTACTAGGAAAATTTCAAATTTCAGAATTGCCATGTATTTCAGTATTATTTTAACCTTTTAGAGTTTTTGATGGTGAATTAGATTATGTAGATTCGTTGTTAAATGATGATGTCCGCAACAACTCAGCCTGGAATCAAAGATACTTTGTTATAAATAATACCACTGGATTCACTGAGGAAGTGTTAAAAAGAGAAATTGATTACACTTTGTCCAAAATAAAGGAGGTTGTGGAAAACGAAAGTGCTTGGAATTACTTAAGAGGGTCAGTATTTTTAGCTCTCCTAATTTATTTTTATTTTTTTACCTAATACTAATACCTAATAATAATGCTAAATTTGAAAATAACACTTTTATTTTTACAATAGGGCCATGTCACAAAAATGCTGCTTTTTATAATTCTTTTATAAGCTTTAATACTAATACTAATATATATATATTTTTTATAATTTTAGTAATAATATGTCTAAAACATTTATTTTTATTAAGAACCAGATACAACTATTTTTACTTCCTAACAATACATAATGTAAATAATTAATTTCTAAAATTCATTGATTAAAATACTCTTGTCAAATATTCACAATATCAGTTTACTTTAAAACTAAATGTAACTATTTAAATCACGGCGGTCCTCAAGGGTGAATAGGTTGACCAAAAATGTAGCCAAAAACTATTTACTACATCTAATTGTACTCCACTTAGGCTCTCTAAAACCATTTTTAGGTAAATCGCAGCTGATCGAAAACTTGATTTTTTTTAGTTTTTAGAGAAAATCATGGAATTTTATTAGTTTTTTTGGTTACATTTTTTGTTATATCAAAAATATGTGTAATTTTGGTTACACTCGAATAAAAATCTCATCCTTTGATCTTTTCAATAACATTAGGTAACTACTTTAACAAAACATGAAACATTAATAACTAAACCTACAAATGTCCAAACGATTAATTTTATATTTTTCCCAGGTAAGTTCTATATAAACCAACATTTAAAGTGCCATTTATTAATTCATTAATATCAGAAAAACAGTAGGGACAACAGACAACAGAATTGTGCTTACTGCAATTTTAAGAAATTCCTTTATCAACTTTTTGCAAGCATTCACTGCATGTTCTAAAATTTGCTTTTTTGTTCTTCCATTTAGAATTTTTGCGTGTTGGTTTGTGACCTTTAAAACTGACAGCTACATGGTGACATGTGAGTCTCGTTCTTGGATGTAGCACAATTTTGTCAAAACCCGGTTCTTTTTTGGAAAGAGGTCTTTTTAAGATATTTTGTCTCCTATCGTATAAAGACAAACGACAATTGCCACACACTGAATTGGAATATCTACTGTCATTTTTGTCAAATTTAAAGCAGTGTAGATTTATCAAATTGTATAGGCTATCATTTAATATAAATTTTGATGGATTGCATTTTCCAAAAACTATCTTCCTGCCGCAGTCAACAACAAACTTTCGATCGGTTTTCTTCATGATTATCTTAAAGTGGCGGCTGGTGGATTTTGGGCACACCCATATCTAAGTTTTTAGACATGAGGCCCACATCAAATTTATATGAGTTTATAATGACATTATATACAAGTTCTGCGCGAGCAGAATTTAAATTAAAGTTTGGGAAAAAAAGTTTGTTTTTTAGCGTGCCCCCCCCCCAGCGTCCTGCCCCCAAATTAAGATAATTCAAATTAAAGTGGTGTAATTTATAATTCACTACAGTTTATCAACAAATTTCAAAATTTATTTTAAAAGTATTACAGATTTTTTTTTATTTAGAAATAGAATTAATAAAAAATTTAAAATGGTATAAAATCTGTAATACTCGGACTTTTTAAATAAATTTTGAAATTTGTTGATAAACTGTAGTGAATTATAAATTGCATATGGGTACCATGTCTAATAACTGAGATATTGGTGTACCCAAAATCCACCAGCCGCACAGTGCGTCGAGTATATGCAGATGGGAATCAAAAATAATATCTTATTAATTAAATGTTTTTTTTATTATTTTTGACTATTAAAATATTAATATAAATAAATACTGTACAAGCAAATAACATTTTCTCTAAAAAATCTACAGGGCGATAGAAAAATGCATGTTTTAATTTACTCATATATTAAGGTTTATTATAAAATGGTTTTATTAATAAAAAATGGTTCAAATCAAAAATATTTTTTTTTAATTTTATGAAAAAATGTATTTAAAAATAAACTAAGTAGTATACAGTGTGAAACAAAACATAATAATTGCCTTTGAAATGAACGGAAACAAATAGAACAGAATGTCATTGACAATTTAATATTTAGTATGACACGAAGGTGCAGAGCAGTTATTAACAATCTAGGAGGACACACCCTCCATTGATAAAGTCAAAAAACTTTATTTATTGACCTTAAACATTTACTGAAAAAATTAATTAGTTATTTTTGTAATTTGTACTGTTTATCATTTTTTTGTTAATTTTGTAATTTTTACGTGCCCAATATAATTTTTTTTTAATTTTAGAAGTTTAACATTTATATTATTTTATTATCTTGTATAGTCACGGCCAAATCTGTATGGGTGCACGTCATCAACGGCATATGACGTCAGCGTTAAGGTCTATTCATACGTGCCCAGACACAATCTAACGCTCGTATATTGTTGACTGTTTATAGCGGTGGGGGCTGTTATTAAGATGGAATTATAACGTCCTTGTTATAATCTTCTGCACTAACTAATTAGGAGTTTGTTACAGGCAAATTTTTATTAAATGTGTTTAAAGAGAAAACAAACGGAGTTTATTACATTTTTATTACATATGCACATAACAAAAAAATACTAAATTATCAGAAACACAAAAATATTAAATTACCAGTCGTCCTTGTCATCAGAGCAAACCAGGTCAGAATTGAAGTCTGATTATTTCCCCAAATTTATTATTAAGGGCGCAATGTCTTCGAAATCTAATAACGGCTAGTTGCCAACAAGCCTTATATCATTGTTTGCACAATCCAGGGATAGAATCTTATAAACATAATGTATAATATTATTTATAATAATTTGCAACAAACGATGCTTCCAAGCGAAATGTCACAATTACAAAAATACGTCAAATATAAAATGACAGCGACCCATCAATAATATTGAACGGTGCGCGCCAGCCTTAAGCTATTACCAACTGGCACACACAAAAATTACTAAATGAATGGTTTTATTTTGATAATTTCGTGAAAAAACGTTTTAAAACAAGGAAATTTTTACAGTTCTTGGTAAACAATACGCAAATGAATGATTTCTTTTTAATAACACATCAGAATTACGCCTTAAAAAAGCAAATTTAACGGCAGTAACTTTACAATTCAAAGTTGGTAATGCTGACGTCATTATATCTCATTGATGACGTGCACCCATATAGCTTTGGCCGTGACTATAGTAGTAAATTTTATTTCTTGATAAAAACAGTACAGTTACAGTGTCCCAGTAATTTCGGAACTAAGTTTTGGATCTTGAAAGAACCGCCTAGCACAGCGTTCCCGTCATTAGATGTGCCGTATCCAGGTTTTGGAATATCTATTAACAATCCCATTTTTGTTTTAAAAATTTTCTGAACTTCGTTTTTTCGTACTTTTAGTTCTGCTTTATTATTATCGCCTCTAACTTGCCAGGTTTTAAAAGGCAACTTATAAGAGATATGTAAAAGAGTCTCAAAGCTCCTAATCCAACAGTCCTTATTTATAATTTTCCGTGCGTGGATTTTTTGCTGAAATGTTTGTTTTGTTCATTAATTTTGGCGTAGCACCACAAATGAAGCAGTTTTGAGTGGCATTAGTACAAGATAATGTATTAATGGCACTACCATCGAGCATTGTAAAAAGCATCTCGTAATTCACAACCATTTCTTGTTCGTTTTTGTTTATTTGAAATTGTTGCAAATTTTCAATATCTAAAGTCACTCTTTGTTCTTCTGCTTTTACAACATCTTTGCATTCTTTGATATAATTAAACTTAATGGGCCTACAATACATGGTGGAAGAGGGCCTAGGATTTTTCCAAATTTCTTTTTTATTATTTTCAATAAGTCTTAAAGGTACCAAAGCTGTTAACATTAAAAAAGCATCTGTACTGACCGTGTCGGTAAATTTTTGTTTATATAGGCTATGCCCGCTGCTACCATCAAACCCCCACTTACATGTTAGGGTTAAAGGGTTCGACATGCCTTTTAGGGAATCTTGCTCTGTTATTTGTAAAATACTTTTTGTTGTTTTATTTAGTAAATCTTGCAAGTCAACTTCAGATGAAAGTTCATTAATCGAGATATTAGTGGGTAAAATAGTTTTTCGGTACTGTTTTAATTTATAGAAGAGACTCGGAAATAATCCAGGATATAATAGATATATTGTACTACTTAGGATAATGTATTTATTCTCTGAAAGGTACAGATATAAATAAAGGGCTAACGCTTGTTGCACAGACAAACATTTTTTATGACTTGTTGAAGGTGCTGTTTTGTTTGCGGAAATTTTTGCAGAAAAGTTAAGTTCATCTGGACTCCAGTTTTTAAGTAAATCTTTTATTTTCCTCTTTTTGGTTTGAGTGGTACCGTCCTCAAAATTTTTTTGTGGTCTACATCGACTTGTTTTAGGAGTAGAATTTTTGTTTTTAGTTATAAAGAGTTTAATATATTCTGGAAAAGTAAACCTTTGCTTGAGCCAAACTTCATTCTTTTTGAGGAAGGTCGAACGCATTCTAGCACACTGTTTCCATTTATTTTTTACTTTGAGGCAAAAATATTTGTTCTATTGATTTCTGCTTCGATAGTCTCTGGGCACTCATTTACATCTATATTTAACAAAAATTTTATTTTACTTGCAACTGCTTGGATCTTTTGTATTTTATTTGTTACCCATGCATCAAATATATCAGCATTAGTACCGGTAACCAAATCTGCAAAAAAGTATATCATCAAGGTCTGCAAGATTCTGCAAAAAACTAATGCAGTAACAAGTAATAGAAGGATGGACCTTGTAATTAGTATAAAAAAACTACATATGGTTTTCAATGTAATTAGTAAAAATCTTCGTAAATAGTTAAGTTAAAAATTTGTATGTAAATTTGCACCAATTTCTATTAAAATGTGATGTAAAAGGCCTTATTTAAATATATGCTAAAAAATAGCCATTCATAAATAAGCACTTACCTTCAGAATCAACTTCCATCATAAAGTTTAACAAAACACTAATATTGGGTATAAATTAGAATTCATCAAACTACTAAACAATTTTC